AACCCGAGCCCGCCCGGAGCCGAAGGGGCTTGAGCGTCGGTCAGAGCACGGAAGCGGCGGGGCGGGGGTCTCCTTGTCACCGTAGGGTCTGCGTCCACCGCCTTTTAGTTATGAGTAAACTGAAACCCAAGACCCAGAGGGCACTTAACTCTTTTCTTGAGTGATACTAGGAGTGGAAGCTTAATTGAAGTTAAGAAAGGCTCCTTCCTTCTTTCATGCAGTTAACAAAGATTTATTGCTTCAGTCACATTGATGCCGGAATCTTGAGAGCATTTAAACCAGAAGCCGATTTCCAGCTACACCCCAGTTTCCCCAGAGCATTCCTCTCAGTAGCCACAAGGCCCTGCATAAACAGCCACAGCTCCCACCCACCCTTCCCTCCCCCTCCCCCACTCTCGGGCTACCTGACCCACCCTTGTCTCCTGGCCTTCACACATGCTGTTGCGCCGCCTGGAAGGCATCGCCCTTCTCGCCCCCTTCGCCTTGCCAAGTCTCGCTCAACTGTCAGTTCTCACTTGGGGGTTTCTGTGGCCTGGTGAGCGGCCTCCCCTGAGCCCCTCTCCTGCCTCGGCACTGACCACACCGGACTGGAATCGGTTCCCTGTCTGTCTCTCCCAGTAAGCAATGGTTCTGACTTCATGGGCACCAGGATCGGTTTATGGAAAATGCAGATTCCTGGGTCCCACTAGGGCCTGGGTTACAGTCTGCATTCTTATGTGCCTGGGGTTCTAATACAAGGGATTTCAGCCATGCCTGCAGAAGCCCAGGGCGTCATGAAGATGGCCCAGGCCAGACCTAGAACAACAGCCTGATAAATGACACAAATGCTTGTGAGAAGTGAAAATAAACCAGGCATGGCTAGCTCTGCAAGACTGCAGGACAGCTGAAGCCAGGACTGTGGCTCAGCTGAGAGGGCTGGGGGACGATGCTGACTCAGGCTCCTCTGGCCCCCCTCAACTGTGCTCAGCTCCCCACCAGGCCCAGCCTGGGCTTGTCTGGGTCAGCTGGCCCCGTTTCCCTGTCACCTACCCTCAGCTACCTCTGGCACTGCCATTATTAGTTTCTGAGAAGCAGGAGGTGTGAGTTTCCCAGAATAGTCCCCTGAGACAGGGCAGCCCTCCCGGGTCTGGCTGCATTGCCCCTCCTTGGCCAGTGGCCATTTCCCTGATGAGAAAATAGGCCTGGAGAGGCAGAGCCCCTGAAATCCAGGTCTGATTTCATAGCCCTCTTGCCTCAGGGGGGGGGCATTCCAAGAAGAACTATGGAAAGAGAGTTACCCAGTGTGGGGTCTTCCTGGCAGAGGGACCAGCATAAGCAAGCATCCTGAGGCAGGAGTGTGGCTGGATGAAATGGGCAAGAGAGCGTGAGGGGGGAGGTGCTGCGGAGAAGGGGGGTTCAGAGGGGCTGGGCCCCCAAAATTTTGAGGGCCACTATTAGTGGTGAGAACAGACGGGAGCTGGGAAGGATGGGAGTGTTGTTTGGCTGGGTTGTGCTTTTTTAAAAAATATTTTTATTGATTTCAGAGAGGAAGGGAGAGGGGGAGAGAGAGAGAGAGAGAGAGAGAAACATCAATAATGAGAGAGAATCATTGATGGGCTGCCTCCTGCACACCCCACACTGGGGATCGAGCCCACAACCTGGGCATGTGCCCTGATCAGGAATCGAACTGTGACCTCCTGGTTCATAAGTTGACAGCCACTGAGCCACACCGGCTGGGCTGGTTGTGGTTTTTTAAAAAAATTAAAATATAACATTCATACAGGAAATTCCTGAAATGGAATGTGATGAAATTTCACAAACAAAACACACCTGTATATAAGCAGCCCCTAGATCAAGAACCAGGGCCCCAGAAGCCCCTGACACCCAGCTATTCGCCCCAGGGTGACCACCATCCCTACATCTAACACTATACATTAGGTTGGTCTGAGTTTGTACTTTCTATAAACAGCATCCTACAGTACAGAGTGGGGCAAAAGTAGGTTTACACTTGTATTATTATTTATTGTACTAGAGGCCCGGGACACGAATCCGTGGGGTCCCTCGCCTGGCCTGAGCCCTCGCAATCCGGGACCACTCGCGGGATGTCGGACTGCCGGTTTTGGCCCAATCCCCACAGGCCAGGATAAGGAACCCCACCAGTGCACAAATCCATGCACCAGGCCTCTAGTATGCATGTAAGATCTTTGGTTAATCTCTTCCCACCCTCCCCGCTTCTCTCTGAGATTCATCAGTCTGTTCCATGTTTCCATGCTTGTGGTTTCCGCTCCTGCATTGAGCATCTGCCCCCTGGTGGTCATTGTGCATCATAGCTACCAGCTGGTTGGCCAGTCGCTTAGACTTTTATAGAGATTATTTGCCAGACAAACTACTTTTGCCCCACCCATATGTACTTTCTGTGTGTGGTTTCTCTCACTAGCATTGTATTTATGAGATTTATCCATGCTGTGGCCTCTAGTTGGCATTTGTTCACTCATTGCCATATGGTATTCCATAGTGTGAACATACCGCTGTTTATTTTCCATTTGACTCTCTAAAAATTTTTTCTCTTTATTGTGTTGCAAACAGCATTGCTAGGAACATCCTTGTGCATACCTTTGCTGCACTTATGGATGCATTTCTGGTGGAGATGTGCCCAGGAGCCACTACAGGGCCCCAGGAAATGGCAGAGATGACAGGTCAGACCCAGCGTGTGGACAAAGGGCTGTTGCAGGTGTGAGGGCTACAGGGAGACCCATGGGAGGTTGCAAGTCATCTGCCTCCTCCCTGAGCTGAGAGTTGGGTTAGTGATGCCCCTGGTATTGCTGAGCATCCTGGAAGTGTTCCAGCCTTAGTCACTTGTGTTATCCTCCCAACAGCCTGCAAGGCAGCTCTAATGATCCCACTTTATAGCTGTGGACAGCAAGGCTCAGTGTCCCACCACTTGCCAGGTCACCTGGCTCGAACATGACAGAGGCAGGATTTGAACCCAGGTCTGCCTGATGGGCAGTCCCAGGTTCTGAACCATCCTACATCCCATGAGCCAAACAGCTGTCTCCTCCCACTGCCCTAGGTACCCTACAAGCCCTGAGACGTAGGCTTTTCCAGAGTGCCCGGTTATCCCAGGTTTGGCTGGCCTTTCACTCTGGCCTCTCCCCTGGCAGGGAGTTCAGAGAGGGTAGCCCTGAAATTAGAGGCCCAAAGTCTAACACTGGTTTATGTGCAAACTCTTTCGGTCTCTGGGCCTATTTCCCCAAAACGTGTCAGCTGCTGCCCTCTAAGTTAGAGGTTCATTTATTCACTCAGGAACTTCTGTATTTGAATTCCCAGGCAATCCACTGTCCGCCACAGGAGTGGGCCAGGGTTCCCGCAGGGCTCTCCCAGCTCTGGTCTCTGGGGTTTTGGCTTCTGGGGACATGTCATGTAGAAATGAAGTGCTCGAAGACTGATGGGGACGAGGAGGGGTGTGCGTGCATCAAAAGGACCAAGGAACCAGCTCAAAGGGGCTCTCACTGGCCAATTGAGCATCAGAAGAATGCTTTAACTGTACATATCCAATAAAAACCCATGAGTCCACAGTGGTATTCAAAAAACAGAAAACTTATTGTTGGAAACTAGTCAGCAACAGAAATAAATTACTGGTACCTGCCATCAAATGGACAAATCTCGGAAACATCATTAGAAACCAAGCACAGAAGACCACAGACTGCAGGATTCCATCAGAAATGTCCAGAAAAGGCCAATCGAGAGAAAAAGTAGACTGGTGGCGGCCTGGGGGCTGGGGGTTTACTGCCAAAGGACACAGGGTCTTTTTGTGGCGATGGAAAGGTTCTAAAAATATACTGTGGTAACGGCTGCACTCTGTACATTTACTAAAAATCATTAAAGCAAATGAATTTTATGGCACACGTCATACCTCAATAAAGCTGTTTCAACCCAACAAAACAACTTGCTGGCCTCAGAGGTGACCAGATCGGCTCACGTCTCTAAAATCCGCAAAGGGGAGTCAGGCATTTTTCTTTGCCGGAAAAAAAAACTTTTAAGAATCCCAGCAGATACTAGAGAATCAGTGATACACTTTCCAGGTGTGATTATGGTATCTTGGTCATGCCAGAGAACTGCCTTATTTTTAAGACCTGCTTGTTCAGGTGTTTAGGGATGAAGTACATGTCTGGAACTTACTCTAAAAAAATTTTTAACCCTGACCGATTTGGCTCAGTGGATAGAGCATCGGCCTGCGGACTGAAGGGTCCCAGGTTTGATTCCGGTCAGGGGCATGTGCCTTGGTTGCGGGCACATCCCCAGGAGGGGGTGTGCAGGAGGCAGCTGATCAATGTTTCTCTCTCATTGATGTTTCTAACTCTCTATCCCTCTCCCTTCCTCTCTGTAAAAAAATCAATAAAATATATTAAAAAAAATTTTTTTTAAAGAAATGGCAAGATGTTAATTACTGACTTGGGTTGGTTTTATGGGTAGTCTTTATATGGATTTCTTTTTAACTCTTTGGTACATCTGAAACTTTTCAAAGTGAAGCTATTTTGTTTTTAAAATACCCTTCACATAAACCTTGCGATTCCCAACTGCCCATGGAAACACCTGAATATCTCGCAGGCCCAGATCTGCTCTGCTCCCACCTGTCCCAGCCCCTCACCCCGGCTCGCACCAGCGCAGGCTTAGTGACTGAGCCTGACCCTCCACTGCTGGCCTCGTCCAACACCTGCGTCTTGCAGATGTGGACAGAAGCCTCACCTAGATGCTGCCTGAGCTGATCCACACCCAGGCCGCCCACCCACACCTGTGCCCCCGAGCATTTCACTGGCCCCTCCCCCGCTCAGGGGCCTTCCTGCCTAGGGCCATGTGGACCCTGCCAGGCTAAGTGGACTCACAGCCCCTACCAGGCTGTCCTTGACCCTTGCCCTCCTGAAACCTCCACTACTGCACCCCAAAGAGGGGGTCCCCAGCTGTGGTCCGAGAAGTAACTGGCCACAGATATGTACCCAGCAGCAAGGCAACTTGGAGGGAAATCCTTTAGATCATTTATTTGACTCGAAGTCAGTGCACAGAGCTCTACCACACAGACGTTAGAAGCTGCAACAGATCAGGTGCCGGGGCAGAGCATGGGTGTGTAAACAAAGACAAAATAAAAATGCCACTTGTGTGTGATTCGGGAGTAAATCAGTAGGCGGGGCCAGGCCCGAGATTACATTCACAGCGCAGGGTAAGTGTAAATGAACGGAATGTTGGGATGGAGGAGGCCACCGGTCCTTCCCTCCCAGGAGGCTGCGGGTGGGTTTGGGCCGGAACGGGTTAGTGCACAGCCCTCCTCCAGGCCGGGAAGCACGGGAAGGTGGGGAGGGGGACGCAGAGGGGCGGGATTCCAGGAGGAAAGGAGGCTCATACCTCCCTTGCCCATCTCCCCTCTCTCCACCCAAATGGGCAAGATCGCCCCACCCCTGGGGCCCCTTTGCCATTCAGGGAGAGGGACCCGGCCTGAGGAGCCAGTCCCCAAATCCAGGGAATGGAGACCTGGGAGAAGCGTATTTCTCTCACAGGCCTCCCAACCTGGACGGGGCAGAACCTCAAAATAAAGTGTTAAGGCAATAAATAAAACACCCCAGCTCAGGTGAGACGCCCTAAGAGAAGTGAGTCTGCAGGGCTGAGACCCTGCGACGGGACAAATGGCGTGGGACAAGTGTGGCTGCCTCCATCCATCAGCAGGACCAGCGGGAGGCGGGCCCTGTGCGGACTCCAGAGCATGTGCGCATCCAAGTGCTGGGCCGTTTCCTGTCCTAGTGAGGGCTGGGGGGCTGGACCAGCCGTCCACCTCCTGACCGCCCCCAGTGTGGTCCCTGGGCCCCTCACTCCCGGGGCCACCAGCAATGCAGCAGAGGTGATAGGCCTGAGAGGACTCCCGGTCAGAGCCTCCAGCTCAGCACCTAGCACCACCCGGAGAGTTCCGGGCTCACAGAGGGAGGTGGGTGGGCGGCAGGACCAGCCCCACCTGTCTCCGGTGGTGGCAGAAGCGGGAGGAGGTGACAGGCTCTGGCAGGGAGGGCGATGTCAGAGGACAATGTCCTGTGTGGTGCCCAGTCCCTACCCAGATGTGAGCACAAGGAGAGTCCCTCCTGCGTCCCCTCTCCTGCCGGCCCACGCCTGCTGCCACCATGGTGCTCACAGCCCCTCGGAGGCCCCACCCTCACTCTCTGAGTTGCAAGCTCTCTCGGGTGGTGGTGGGGGTCGTCGGGACTGGCCAGCCGTGGGCCTGGATTCTGAGACCTCTCAACCCAGGACATACATGACCTTCACCCAGAGCCCTGCCATCCCCACCTTTCACCTCCACCCTCCCAGCCCCTCGTCAGCAGCCTAGGTTGGTGGGAGCTTTTGGGGTCCCACACCCAGGGCACCCCAGCTCTGCCTCCCCCAATTCTCTTCACAACACCTTCCTCTCTCTCTCTCACTACCTTCTTCTCCCTCAGGCCCCACTGGCCACTGGTCCAGCCTCCGCTTCCCCAGGGACCGCTGAGGGCAGTCAGACGGGCCCCGAGGGGCTCCCTCTCTCTCCATGGAAGTTTACCCCCAGGCCTTGGGGATTCCCAGATGATTGGGGGTGGGGCAAGATCAGGGGCAACCGCTCTTGGCTACCACGGCCTGGGCTCTGAGCTGCTGATGGCACAGATGCCCGGCCCTTGCTTGTCAACCCAAAGGAGGGAGGAGGCACCTTGTCTCTGCCATCACCCACGTGGACGAGGCCCAGCAGCCACCCCTTCCCAGCCTGCGCCCGCCACAGCTACAGCTCCTCCGGGGGACCGTTCTCTCGGGGCAGCACGCCGTTCAGGCCAACACTGCTGGCCACCGGTGCCCCCAGGTAGCCGAGCAGGATCTCGCTGCGGCGCCGGGACAGCTGCAAGATGTCATCCGCCAGCGCCGGCACCGAGGTGTAGCGCACGTTGTCCAGGTCAAACATGTCCCTCAGGTACTGCACGATCTGGTGCTGGGGTACAGGGCTGTCATGAGACCTGGGCCCAAGCCCCTGCCCACCCCTGATGGCCTCCAGACCCCCCAAAGCCCTCCCCTTGACCTCTGGGACCCCGACCGAGTCTCGTCCTCGGGTTCTGGTCCCAGGGCTTCCTCAGACCCGCTGGGCCAGGCTCCCAGTGGAAGAGGCAGCATGCTCTCCGGGTGCCCACTGGCTTTTTTGAGGAGAGGCCCAGGCAGGAGCAGTGGCCTCAGCACTCTGCTCACCTTGAAGAAAGCACAGACTTCGGCGAGCTGGGGCTTGGGTCCAAGGAAGCCAAAGGCCAAGACGGGGCTAACATGCTCCGATACGGAGTAGAAATGAGAGATGAAGCCGTCAGGCACCTGTGGGGGGAGCAAGATTGAGCCTAGGACCCTGGCGTCATCTTGAGATCTGGGTCTTGGAGGGAGGCCTGGCTCGTTCACATCCTTGCTGGGTGACCCTGGGCAAGTGACTAAGGAAGGCCCTGTTTTCACCTGTGCAGAATGGGGGTGACCTCGGGGCTGCTGTGAGGGCTGCATAAGGAGGGGCCTGCGGTCAGCACAAGAACTGCCCAGTCTGTACTGGCAGCAGCTGGTATCAGCTGGGCAGCAGAGCCTGGCTGGCGAAGAGGAACAATGGATTGCAGCCCCAATAGTGCAGCCAGTCGCCGCCTGGGAGTGCAGATAACAGCAGCCCAATGGCGGAGTGGCTGCTCTGCCTGCCCTTGGGGCATCCTGCCCCCACCCAGGCGCCTCCTCTGAGCCAGCTGCCATGCCTTGCCTGTGCCCTTCATCCCCCAAGGGTGCCCCCTCCCCTCTTCTGATGCCTTCAGCATTTCCCGATGCCCTATTCTGCTGGGCCCTGTAGGGTGAGATGAAGGTGCTCCTGGTCAAGGGAGAGGTGCCAGTAGGACAGGTGGCCAGTGCTATGACAGAGGCCAAAAGGTGCAGCCAGGCCTAGGGGCTCGGCAAGGCCTCCCTGCACCAGCCCCATTCTTCTCACACCCTACCCCAGTGACGGCGAACCTATGACACACGTGTCAGAGGTGACACGTGAACTCATTTTTTTGGTTGATTTTTCTTTGTTAAATGGCATTTAAATATATAAAATAAATATCAAAAATATAAATCTTGCCCTAACCGGTTTGGCTCAGTGGATAGAGCATCGGCCTGTGGACTGAAAGGTCCCAGGTTCGATTCCGGTCAAGGGCATGTACCTTGGTTGCAGGCACATCCCCAGTTTGGGGTGTGCAGGAAGCAGCTGATCGATGTTTTAACTCTTTCCCCTCCTCTGTAAAAAAATCAATAAAATATATTAAAAAATATATACATATATATATATAAAAAAATTTTTGTTTTACTATGGTTGCAAATATAAAAAAATTTCTATATGTGACACGGCACCAGAGTTAAGTTAGGGTTTTTCAGAATGCTGACACGCCGAGCTCAAAAGGTTCGCCATCACTGCCCTACCCTGTCCTGCCACCACCAGGGGCCAGCACACCCCAACTGGAGGGTCAGCTGAGTGCCACACTCAGAGCCCCCGCAGCACTCGCCCTGGGCCCCCGCAGGTCACTCACCATCAGCAGCCTCCTCTTGGCTTTGAGGACTGACCAGCAAGCAGTGGCCAGGGCCTAAACCAGAGACAGGACAATGGGAGCCGGGTAACAGGCCAGGGGGCAGCCCTTGCCCATCCCCCAGCCCAGACCCCCACGCAGGAAGACAGGGCCTGGTGCCTGAGCTCTGCTGTTTCCTCCCCTCAGTTAGGAATCAGATACACCTAAGTCTGATCGTGCCCCTAACGCTTAGCCCTGTGGGGCCCTGGGCTAGCCACTGAACATCTCTGGGCCTCAGTTTCCTGATCTGCAGCATGGCCATAAGCCAGCACCCCATCTCACTCAGTGGTGTGGGACCCACGGTGACCGCCTGGACACTGCCTGTGAAGACCACCCAGCCCTCTCCATCCCCGGCCACCGTCACGGCTTCCTGAGTGCCCTGCGGGGCCCGAAGCTCAGTGCTCTCCTGCAGTTAGTTCCTCTCCTTTCCCCATTTAACTCGGTTGAACAGGATGTGTTAGAATCGAAAGCATGGGCGCCAGCACAGAGTGAGCAGACTTAAGTGAAAGCACAGCGCGGGAGGAAAAGGCACAGGACGCTAGCTTTGCAGTGTTGCCAGGACAGCAGTGGGTCCCTGGGAAGCTTCTTCAGGGCAGAGGGGAGGGGAGCCTGCCCACGGGGGTGACAGCTGTCTGATGGGTGGGGAGCCCAGCCTTGGTGCCCAAAGCCAGGGATGGAGGGAATCGGGGTTCAGGCCATCGTGTAGGGTCACGCGAGTGTGTGCTGGGAGTGCGGGCGGCCACCCACCGTCTCCTTGAAGCTGTCGGACAGCCAGCGGTTCCTCAGGACGGCGAGCACGGAGGACGGGGGGTTCTCCAGGTCCTCGAAGGCGTCCATGAGGATGAAGTCCAGCACGATGTCATAGAAGCTCATGCACACCACCTGCGGGAGGCAGGCAGCGTGAGGGAGGTCCAGACGGGGCAAGGGCAGGTGTGGGCCTCATGGGTGAGCAGACCCCTCCCTGCTATACAATGGGGTGCAGCTGGGGCCATCCCCCTCACGGCCTGGCCTAGGACAGAGCAGACACTGGGGGCTCGTAGCACTGATGGAGCCATCTCAGACCCTCGGAATCAAGGCGGAGCTCGGCACAGGTACCCCGCCCTGCTCAGGGGCTCAGGTACTTAGCACAAGTGAACTCACCCCCCGGCCCTCCAGCTCCAGCCGTGTGGTCGCCCAGGTCTCCGGCCGCAGAGCATAGTTCAGCATCTCCTCGTAGCTCTCCAGGAAGCCTTTGGGGCTCTGGGGAGAAGCACAGTCTGTTCGGGTCATCCAGCTGGAGCAGACCCCCAGGGGCGGGCTGGCCCATAGATGGGGACATGCCAAGGCAGGGCCAGGGCCGAGAAAAGGAGGCAAGAAGGGCTCTCCGCCCACCTCGATGTGCCTCTGCAGAGAACAGGGCGTCTGCAGGACAGACCCACCACCAGCGCCCAGCAACGCCTCAGACCAGCGTGTTCCTGAGCACCCACTGCCACCCAGGAGATGCCGCCTGCCGCAGCAGGAGCTCACTTTGGAAGGATGGGTGAGGTCATGAGGTTGAGTCAGGCAGTCCAAGATCCAAATCTCTCTGACCTTGAGCCTCACTGGTGAAATGGGAGAAGCTACAGCACCAACTCGTGGGCCTTTTCTGGGGGGAGTCAATGAGCCACGCACGTGACACAATCAGCCCCGTGCGCGGGCCTCAGCAGTCAATGGTGTGTGAGATCGCTGCCGCCGGCACCACGGCCGCCAGCACTCGGGACAGATGCTTCACTCGCCAGGACCACGAGTGTAGCTGCGGCACAGCCTGCAGGTGTGGATGCGCATACGGACAGAAAGCTGGTATGTGCCAGGTACTGATCTGATATAGACCAACTCATCTAATTCCTATGGTTCTATGAGGGACATTCTGGTATTATTCCCACTTCACAGTTAAGAATACTGAGGTTTTGTGAGATCAATGACATGCCCAAGAGCCAGGCAGGATGGAGCTGACACAGAACAGCATGGACAGGTTGATGCCATTTATACAGAGCCATGTGCAGAGGAGGCACTGGACCAATGTTCGCTAAGATGTGAACTGGGTGGGGTTGGAGCTCACTGAGTAATGAGAGAACAAGGCAACCTACAAGCAGGATGTGGAGCGATGCAGGAGGCAGCTGATCAATGGTTCTCTCTCATCACTGATGTTTCCATCTCTCTCTCCCGCTCTGAAATCAATTAAAAATAACTGTCATAGTTAAAATAAATAAATAAATTTAAAAAACAGAAAAAAACAAGGTGAGTGGGGAAGAAAACCTGAAAGGGAGCCCCCCCCCCCCCCCCCCCCGTACCTTCTCAGCCTTGGTCATCAGACCTGTCACCATCTGCCGGCCAACCTCCCCGAAGAAGAGCTGGTGATTCTGGTCCTCTAGGAGGCCCTGAGGAAGGGGCGGGGTGAGCTGCCCAGCTGGCGGTCCCCCGCAGCCATGAGGAGGGCAGTAACTGTGTTAAGCAAGTGACCCAGGCACACAGAGGGGCCGTGTGGGAGCAGGCCCAGCAGGAGGCCTGCCTGACTGCCCCGTCCCGACGGCACCTCCGCAGGTGCCTGCATCACAACCCACCTCGAACGCCTGCCGCACACAATGCAGCTTGGCCAGAAAGTCATGGTCACTGTAGCAGCCCAGCAGCTCTGTCCTGAGGGGAAGCACAAGCAGTCAGGCAACCTGGGCCTCGGTGTGGTTCTGAGTGGAGCTCTAGGTAGCCCTGCCTTGGCTTGACAGTGTGACCTTGGGCAGGTGTCTGCCCCCCTCTAGGCCTCAGTCTCCCCAAACCAAAGGAAGAGGCTGACTGGATGCTCTCTGAGGACGTCAGTCTCAATAACCCTGGCAGGTCTGGTCACTGGGGGTCGGGCTGACCGTGGCCTCCTTTAGGCCCTAATTAGCAAAGGACAGAAATGGCCAACTGCTCCAGGTGGCAGGATGCCAGGCAGGGGGCTGCTGCCCACCTGGGTCCGCCTACCCTTTATCCCAATCACCAGGACTCCAACTCCAGCTTTCAACCATTTCTGTCAGTGAACTTGAAACATAACTTAAATGTGGAGTCATGACCAAAAGCCAAGTTCTGAGAAAAACTCATGTAAAATGAGTAAGATACCTACAGTCCCACAAAAAGGGACACAGGGCTGAGGATCAGGCCCCCTGTGTTTCTGTGGCTGGAACCCTCCAAGAACTTAGGTCAAGCACGGTACTTGGGATCATCCTAGGCCCTCCTTGATGAGGCAGGAGCCATTGCCAGCCCATTGTGGCCCTCAGTGAGCCTGGCCCAGCTGAGTCCTCACCAAAGACCAATGGCTTCTCGGGCCTCCTCCAAGGGGGACAGGGCCTGCCCAGCCGCCCCCCGCTCCTGGCCTCCCGCCCCCCATGCTCACCTGAGGGTCCGGCAGACCTGCCCAGCCGCCCCCTGCTCCTGGCCTCCCCCATGCTCACCTGAGGGTCCGGCAGAGCACCTTCCCCTCCTTCACCAGCTGTAGCGCCTCCTCGTAGGCAGCAGCGGGCCTGGACAGTGGGATCGGGTAATCTTCGACCTGCAGGGACTCAAAGAGCTGGGGAGGGTGCAGAGGAAGAGGACCGTCACGTCACAGCCTGTGTCAACAGCGGCCCAGAGGGTGAGGGCCCATGCCCAGGGGACACCCTAGGGGTGACCTCTCAGAGGAGATGTCAGAAGGAGGCAGAAGCCCGGGTTCAAGCCCAGCTCTGGCCCTCAGTGTCCCCATCTCCAGGGGTTCTTCCCCAAGGGACCGTACACTGGGCCTGAGCCCATGTCCTCCACCCAGGCCAGGACAGCTGGCCTGACACATGGCCATGGCAGCAGACTAATGCCAAGCAATGGGCATGCGGCACAGAGAAGGGAGAGGTCAGCGTGGGCTGGAGCCAGTGGGCAGAGACCCTGCCCTCACCGCTAAGACTTGGAACCCCTGGCTTCTCAGGCCTCCCCATCCCCAGCCACTGCACGAGTCCCCAGGGAGCAGCCGTGGTGACTGCCAAATTCTGCTCCCGGAGGAGGAAATGGCTGTACTTTCCCATGACCGTGCTCACCCAGGTTGCACCGGCCTCCCTCTACCCATCCTCTGTGTCCACCCACCTCCCCACTCACCTCGGTAGCAGAGAAGAAGGAATCGTCCGAGATCAGGCTGTCCTCATCGTCCGCCCGCAGAAGCAGCGAGCCCTCGGACAGGGGCAGCATGAGGGTTCGCTCTGGGGAGAGCAGGAAGGAAGGGCTGAGCTGAGACTCCCGGGAGCACAGAGCGGGATGCGCAGCTTCAGAGCCTAGAACACCTGACTCTGGGCGGATGAGGCTGACGAGCACAAAGTCCTATTTACTGAGCACTTGCACGTGAAGACCCCAGGCTCAGTGCCTCAAATGAATGGCCTCCTTCCGTCCTAAGACATCCGTGGAGGTGGGCACAGTTAGGTGTGGAACGAGGCTGCTGAAGGAACCTGCCCACAGCCACACAGCTGGACCCCGAGACCTGGTGGCCCCGAGCTCTTCAGGGGAAGTCGCTTCCCCCTCCGACAGGGTGCAGAGGAAGAGGCCCAGAATGAGACTTCTATCAGCCACTGACAGATAGCAGAGGGCTGAGGGAGCCCGCGGGCCACCTACTCGGTGTTGCCATCACCACCTGCCTAAAGGCCGAGAGGGTCTGGACCTCCAAAAGCACCAGGAAAGGCTTGTGAAACAAATTCTCGGGGCCCATAACCCTAAAAAGCCCCCCCGCCTCCTCTGCCACATGGGAGGCCGAGGACACAGGACCCCGCGACAGGCAAAGCCGCTCAGGGAGAGGTGTGGGCCTGTGTCACCCCTGATAGAGCAGGGAGGGAGCTGGACACTCAGGAGTCCACTGTCGCCCCCCACCTCCCCCGCGCCCGGGGCTGACAGCACACAGGAGAGCCCGGGGTCCTCAGGTTCACTGCACGGCTCTGGCACCAGCAGCCACTTGGACATTAACTGTTGGCTGGATAACTTCGCTCCCTCAGTGATGTCACGGCCTCTACCCCAGTGGGGCAGGGCAACAGCAAGACTTGTGCTCTTGGACCTGTGGTCTGCTCTGGGCTAATCTGGTGAGCCGTCCTCTCCATCCACCCAGTGTCCCAGGAAAAGGCGCAAACCAAAGGCCTAGAATAGCCAGGGGATGGGGCCAGGGGCTCTCAGGGCCTCATCCCAGCTCTGCTCCTGCCTACCACGGATGGAGGAACCCCCCCGCCCCCCCCCCCAGCAGCCTCAGTTTACCTATCTGTGCAATAGATTGGAGGAAGTCTGAGGGCCCTGGGGATTCTGGTTTGCCTGATGCACTGAGGGGATCGCACCCTGGTTCTCTCACTGCCTCCCCACCCCACCCACCGCAGCCTGTGAGGGGCCCAGCTCACCCAGGTCCAGGAGCAGGCTGTCAGAGGGGAAGGTGGACCCAAACTCCTCCTGCAGGTGGTAGGCCCGGTGTAGCAGGGACTCCAGCTTCTCCGCAAACTCCCTTCGCTGTGACTCTGGCTGCGGTTAAAACAGCGACTGTCAACCCAGGCCTCCACGCTCCCATGCCAACAGCCCCTTCCCTCACCAACAACGGGTGGCCCTGCCTCAGGGGAGAGGAGCGGGCTCTGGGACCCCACAGGGAGAGCGCAGATCCAGACCTGAGCTGCCCAATCCAGAGCCACGAGCCACATGTGGCCAGAGAGCCCCCGAAATGGCCAGTCCCAAGTATAAATACACTGCGTTTCAAAGACTCAGTACCAAGCAAATAAATAAATGCCCTTGGTGACTGTCCATCACACGGTGAAATGGTAACATTTGAGACATACTAGCTTATGTAAAATATATTGTTAAAGTTCATTCATCTGTTTCCCTTTTACTCTTGAACGTGGCCTCTAGCAACTTTTAAACAAGGTAAGTGGCTTCCTACTGGCAGCGCTGCTGCAGGCCCAAGCGGACCTGGGTTCCGACAGCGGCCCCACCAGTTCTGAACTGTGATCTGGAGCAAAAAAAGTCTCATTCTGGGCCTCTGCCTCCTCGGTTTCCCCGTCTGTAAACCAATATAAGAGCGCCTGCCGCCTAGGGTCCCAGGGAAAGTGTGACCGAGGAGGTAAGGTCCGCACAGCACTGACCCGCCGTGACAACCAGTCGGCCTTAGCGGTCACAATACTATTGTGCTTGTTGTTATCGCTGGACTAAGAGCAGTCAGAGCCCAGAAAGAGCTGTGTGATTGGGAAGCCACTGTACCCAACACGCAGCAGCCTGCGGCCTCAGTGACCGCCTCGCCGCCCTCAGCCTCCAGGCCAGGGCACAGGGGAGCAGGGGGCACTGCTCCTTTAACCCCAGGCTCATCTTGTCCGAGGGGCCAGGCACGGGCAGACCCAAATCTGTTTCCACAGAGGCTGCCAGATCCTGCACTTGCACGTAACCAAACCCCGGGGAGGAGACAGAGGCCGACCCGGGCCTGAGGCCACTGGGGAGAAAGAGCCGGAAGAGCTCAGGGGGGACAGTCATGGTGGAAATGGCTGCCTTTCACTGAGCACCTGCCCTGGACCTGCCCCCTCACAATTCATCCTCCTGGTGTCCCTCAAGGCAGCTATTATTATGACCCCATTTCACAGAGAAAACTCAAGGAGGTTAAGTGGCCCCGCCCACCACCTCGAGCCTGGAAGAGCTGGGATTCGACCCCAGGTCACGGGACCCCAGGCCCACCGGACACTTGGCTCAGTTCTCCCACAGGGCAAGGCCCTGCTCCCTGCGGCCTGCAGACACTTGCAGCTTTGGCTGAGCTCTGCCAGCTCTGTCTCTGTGAAGTGATCTTGGTTAGGAAACGGTTTCTTAGCCCTGACACCAAAAGCACCAATGACAAAAGAAAAAATAAAGATATTGAATTTCATCAAAATTAAAAACTTTTGGCCCAGCTGATGTGGCTCATTGGTTGAGTACTGATCCATGCACCAGGAGGTCGCTGGTTTGATTCCCACTCAGGGCACATGCTGGGTTGTGGGTTCGATCCCCAGTGTGGGGGGGCATGCAGGAGGCAGCCAATCAATGTTGATTCTCTCCCATCGATCTCTCTCTCTCTCTCTCTCTCTCTCTCTCTCCCTTCCTCCCTCTAAAATCAATTAAATAAATAAATAAGTGAAAAGACAACCCAACAAATGGGAGAAGATATTTGCAAATTGTATCTCTGATAACGGGCTGGTATTTAGATTATCTAAAGAACTCTTCCAACTCGTGAATAAAAAGACAAGTAACCGATATGAAAGTAAATCAAAGGATCCGAATAGAGATTTCTTCAAATAAGATATACAAACAGCCAATAAGCACAAGAAAAGATGCTCAACATCATTAACTATCAGGGAAATGCAAACCAAAGGAACAACGAGACACCATTGCACACCCACTAAGGCGGCCGGGATGGAAAAGTCGGGGCTAACAGCTCGGTGGAGGATGTGGGGAGTCAGAGCCTCGCACACTGCTGGTGGGGAACTGAAACGGCACAGCTGCTGTGGAAACAGCCTGGCAGCTCCTCCAAATGTTAGAGTGACCACAGCACCCAGCCTTCCACCTGAGTACTCAGCCACGAGCACTGAGAAGACAGGTCTACTCAAAGACTATACGCAATATCCACAGCAGTACCATTCATAAAGGCCACAAAGTGGAAACAACACAAATGTCAACCAAATGGTGAACAGATAAGCAGAGTGTGGAGTATCCACACACAGAATATTCAGCCGTGAACAGAAACAAAGCAGTGATCCATGTTACAAGGATGAACCTTGAAAACACTGTTAGATGAAAGGAGCAAGTCACAAAAGGCCACATATGATTAATTCCATTTGAAGAAACATCCAAAATAGGTAAATCTACTGAGACAGAAAGCAGATTAGTGGTTGCCTAGGGGTGGGGGCGGGGCCAGAGGCATAGGAGGGGAGGTGTGACTGCTAAGAACATGGGATTTCTTTTTGGGGTGATGACAATGTTCTAAAATTGTGATTGTGTGATATATTCATACAACTCTGTGAATATACTAAAAGCCATTGAAGCCTACAATTTAAATTGGTGAATTTTATGGTATAAGAATTATGTTTCAAGAAACTTGTTAAAAAGTGTTTAACATAGAAAAATACCCAGAAGGACACCAAGTGGTTCTGTCTGAATGAAGGGTTCTGGGCATCAGTAACAGCGATGACAAAGATCATTTATTGAGCATCTACTATGCGCCAGGATCGCATGGGTGGCACTGGTGTCCCACTGAGGGCACCAGCACTCAGGGAGGGCACGGGCCTTTGTCCAAGATCAGAGCCCGAGCTCTTTCATTTTCCCACTCTTTTTTATTTCTGTAGTTTTCACTATTTTGTAGGAATATTTAATTGTTTTCACAATTAGAAGAACAATGAAAGTTCTATAATGTCACGATGTAACATTAGCAATAAGTAAATTTTGGACATTAAGCTCCTCCCTCCGCCTCCCTGCCCTCACACCCCTCGGTCTGCCCACACGCAGAGGTGACCCGAAGCAGCTTGCGCCACAGGCATTTCCCAACCTTTGTGTCCACAACCAGGTGGTCATGCCTGTGTGACAGGCCTGAGAGAATGCCCCCAGCGGGGGTGGAGGGCCCAGACACCAAGTTGTTACAGGTTGTGCCAGACATGTCCCGTCCCCATCCTGTTGCTACAAACTCTGATTGCCAGACTCCCTGCCAACAGAGGCACAAGTGGAGGAAAGAAGGGGGTGGGGAGGAAGGCAAGGAAACTCTTCCCTCCTCCTCCTGCCTCCCACCACCCTGCCCACCCTACCCAAGTGGGGGCAACCCCTGCTGGTCAGCCCCTGTGCTAGCTTCCAGGACACGGCCTTGGCACCTGAGCTCTGGGCACACCCCTCCAGCACTGGGACAAGTCAGCTCCTCCCTCACCTGTGCAACCAATCCCCTGCATTAACTGCCTCCTGTTTCAACAACTGAAGTCGTTCCTATTTCCTGGCTAACACCCTACTGACTCGACAGATAGGTCAGACTGCTCCCCAAAGAGACGCCCCTCCCCGTGTGACCTCGCTCCAGCAGAGCACAGGAGCTTATAAAGACCTTGTTTTTAATACAGAAAAGTGTAAAGAATAAAACAGCCCTAACCAGTTTGGCTCAGTGGATAGAGTGTCAGCCTGTGGAATGAAAGGTCCCAGGTTCGATTCTGGTCAAAAGCACGTGCCCAGGTTGCGGGCTCGATCCCCAGTAGGGGGCGTGCAGGAGGCAGCCGATCAATGATTCTCTCATCATTGATGTTTCTATCTCTTTCTCCCTCCCCCTTTCTCTATGAAATCAATAAAAATATATTTTAAAAAATAAAAGAATAAAACAGAAATGGCCCACAACCTCACCGTGTATACAAACCCCGCCCATAGGCATGTGCTCAGCATGAGAAAAGTCCAACAGTAAAGGAAGGTACTGAAAAGTACAGGGAAGTACAATAAAAGCCTCTCCACCTTTCCCTGCAGACCCTCCCTCATAGATCACTGCTAGCGATTTCCCGTTTTGTGTACCTGTCACAGGAAAGGAAAACTGCACACATGTATCAGCAGCTACCAGGAGGCGCACAGATGCACGGATGTAGCTTTTAAAAATGCACACCTGGGTCATTGTATACACAATCTACAGCTTGCTTTTTTCACTTGATACATCGTGGAGATAGCAGCCTATCAGCCCACATAACTTTCCTTGGCCTTTTTTTAGGTTTTGGGTTTTTTATAATATATTTTTATTGATTTCAGAGAGGAAGGGAAAAGGAGAGCGGATAGACACATCAATGATGACAGAGAATCACTGATCAGCTGTCTCCTGCACGTTCCCTACCTGGGATCGAGCCCAAAACCCGGGCATGTGCCCTGACCGGGAATTGAACCATGACCTCCGGATTCATAGGTCAATGCTCAACCACTGAGCCACACTGGTCAGCCATCCCTCGGCCTTTTAACAGCTGCATAGTATCGCAGACCCTACTGAATTAGAGAGTTTCCAGTTTTTCAACTATGACAAAATAATGCTTCAGTGAACATCCATCCTAGGACATATATTTGGTGTGCTCTTCACAAAAATGTTTTATTTTAGCTTCTTCACTGTATTTCTCTTTCCTGATATTGAAATGAAGGTTCACGGTAGAAAACTTAGACAATGCTCCCCAAAAAGCACAGAGACAAAGGCCATGTGACCCACTCAACTATGAACAGAGGCTCTTCCCCACCAGTCCTGCAGGAACGCGTGGCTGGGACCAGGGTGTGAGCATCATGTGGTTTACTGCACAATTACCAAGTGCCAGGTGTGTGCGCGGCACATTATTGGTTGGACTGACAACCTGATCAAGGGGAACACTCCATCCAAGGGGATGAGTGTCTGGTTGGCAGGAGGCGGGGCTGCTAGGCTGCCTCCCAAAGTCTGGCTGCCCACCAACCTCTCCATGGTCAGGGGGTGGGGACCACCTACCTCAGAAAGGACTTCGGAAGCAGCCTCAGGGTTCCGGAGGCCGTCCCCTGGTGTGGGGGTGCTGCCGCTGTCTCCCCTCTGCCCCACGCTCAGCGCCTGCTCCCATTTTTGCAGAGCCTCCTCGAATAACTCCATGCCTGAGCACGGGCCCGAGAGAAGGGAGAGTCAGGCCCCAGCAGAGGGAGAGCAGCCGGGCCCTGCAGTGTCACTCAAGAGGGCCCCGAAGGACAAGAACGAGCAGGGCCGTGTGGGTCCTGATCACGTTTTGAAAGATGGTCAGTTGATAGGCCTTCATTCAGATCAGATCTGTTCCTGGACACTGTCCCCTGCCCAGAAGTGGTGGGAAACCAGGAGTGAAGGTTTGGGGGCCGGGAGGGGAAAGTGGGTTGCAAAGCAGGGCCTGGCCTGGGCCGTTCCCCACTGTCCTGCCCCACCTGGGGGAGCTCGAGGCCACCTCCAGGCCTGTACCTTGCATGTAGAGGCTCTCGGCATTGCCATCGCTGGTAGTCACAGACTCCTCCATCCCTCTGGCATCCCATGGTCCCGAGCACGCAGCTGTGGGGCTGGACGCATTCACCGCCACCATCTGGGCGCCAAGCAGCGCAAAGACCCAAGGGCAAGGGGTGAGGCCTTTCCAGACCCTCTACAAGACCCCGGCCACCCCCAGTGCCTGACCGTGTGCCACACACACTCTCTCCAGATGCCATCCCTGGAGCCAGCCCCTGATTGCAGAGGCCAAGCCCTCAGCACAACCTGGTCCACCAACTCCAAGCACTGATGACACCTCACAGAAACTGCCGGGGTGGGAGGAAATATCGAGGCCAACACCCAGCCCGGGACTCAGCAGCCTCCTACAAAACCCGCCCTGGGCCCTTTCCCTGCTCTGGGGCTCCGCTACCAGTCAGACAAGGAAGACTGAGGGAGCACCCAGCACACACGGGCCAGCCAGGGCCCACCTACTCCCACGCCTCTCTCCCACACGAGCAGCCACCTCCCATGACGGGCTTTGGGTTCCTCCAGGACAAGAGCTCTCTCTTGCTCACCCCTTGGTCCCCAGGGCAGGCCCAGTTCTGCACTGGGCTCAGTCCTGACTGAATGAATAATAACTAGATGAGTGAATGAGCCAAAGTCATTCCCCAAGGGAAAATAATCTCTCTTTGTCTTATTTATTTCTGTAATCTCAGCACCAAGAAGAGTCCCTGGCACGAAGTGGATGTTCACTCAATGTCTAATGAATGAATGAATGAACTTTCATAGATAAGTATCTTCCCCAAGAGGCCATCAGCTTGTCTTCTGCACCTGTCCATGTTTTCCCCACTGATGCCTGGCACTCAGTGAGTGATCAACAACCATCTCTAAAAGCCTGCATGCATGAATGAATGAATGAATGAATGAATGACTAAATGAAATCTCTACTCCCATCTCCATACCAGTCCATAGCCCCCTGAGGGAAGAGACTGAACCTGACTCAGTAGCTGCGGACTGAGCCTGGGGCCGTGGCAGGCACCTGGCACCCTCCCGTCCTCCCGTCCTCACCGAGGCCAAGCTGTGGGAGGAGCCCGAGCGCTTGCTGGGCTCAATGGAGGAGATGCCACTCAGGGTGTCGTTGCTCTTGCTACTGGGGCTCTGTACCCTCCGGCTGGAGTAGCCTGTGGGAACAGGAAAGAAGGGGTCACGCAGGCTTCAATCAGCCTTTAGACAGGTCGTTCCCCACCCCAGACCACCTCCCCTCTCATCTGGAGTCTATCCTGACCTTCTAAGTCAGGGTGACGGCAGAGCACCCGGGCTGTGCACTTGGCAGAAGAGTGCTGGGCCCATGCCACTCGCTACTGTATCCCTGTCACCAGCAGCGCCTGAGGCCCCGCTACTTCCCCGCCTCCTTCCTGGCCCAGTGCTGCTGGGCGAGTGGCTGGTTTGCAATTCTCCTTCCAAAAAGGATTCAAGGTAACAACTTTTGAAGATACACCAAGGAGAGAGGTTGGTGCCTAAGCGGCTCCCGGTTTCCCAGGGGCCAATGCAAAACAGAAACCCAGCGACTCAGCATTTCTCAGGCCTGTTCTACACCAATCTAGAAACTCCTTCTTTCCACTGTAAAGATAAAACTTTCCTTCTGCAGTGATAATTACAATGGAAATGCACTTGCACACAAGGACCCAGGTTTCCCAGAGTCCCCAGATAACGAGAGCAACCGCTCCCTCCGGGACACGGGTCAGGCCCCGCCACCCACCACATCCTCACGTGACTCGGGAAAGGAGGTTCTGCTGTCAACCCGCCTCCCAGGTGAGAGGAGCTTGTAGACAGGAAGTCACTAGCCCGGGATCCCACAGTTCACTGGGGCCCAGCTGGGACCTGACTCAGGTCAGGCCCTTCCCCCCACCTCACACCTACCTTTCTTTACCGATGGGGTCTTCTTGGCCATGAGGATGGGGAGGGGCACCGTGCCCAGATGCTCGCCTCCCATCTCAGGGCCGACCTGCTTCTTCTTCCGCCTTCGCCTCTTCAGCTGGTGGGCGGCCAGGGCCAAGGCCACGGTCCCCAGGGCTGTGGCAAACAGGACCTTCCGCAGGCCTGGTGTCAGCCGCAGCTGCGAGAATGCAGACTGCAGGACAAGAGGGAGACAGCCGGTTACATCTCCCCTGGAGAGCTGCTCTGGGGAGCACAAAGGAACAGGGAACGTACCAGGCCCCTGGGGATATTTGTGGACCAGGTACAATGGGGAGACAGCCACCTCAAGAGAGGGGACCTGGCCAGCCACTCTGAACTCTGAAATGTGGACCACAGAGATGTAAAGAGAGAGCTGGGGATGGCAAAATGATGATGCCAGCTGATGCCAAGGTCAACCTGGGGTCCAGCAGGTCGTGGCTAACAGCTGCGCCAGGCACTGCACTAGGACTTTACCCGCGTTTCCTGTCTGTCCTCCTCCAGGGGAGGAATCTGGGGCTCACACTGGTTGTTAAGACCCATGCTCAAGGTGACAGAGACAGAAATGGAACCCAGGTCTGCCAGCTCCATTCCTCAATGACTTCTCGAAGATGATGACATTCACTCCACCCACTGCCCCATCTGCATCCCTACTCCACCCTCACTCTGCCGGCTGGACTGGGAGCCCCTCCAGTGGCGCTGCATCCCATGGGGCAGAGCTTCAGAGAGTGTCAAGAGGCCTGGTCAGCACAGACATGGGAGGTGGGCAGGTAAAGGCCAGGCCAGGGGCCCTAGACTCCTAACCCCGTCCTTCCTGCTCTGCTCAAACAGGAGACGCTGGGCACCTGAACAGCACACTGAGGGCCCGGCTTTCCTGACGCTCAGTGTTTCAGGGACCAGAGTGGTGAGAGGGCAGGACCACGGCCACCCACTCTTTACCTGTCCAAATGTCGTGTACAGGAACACAGGGATCTCGGCCACCGTCATGGCCAGGGCCTGGATCATGGACATGCCCTCAGTCCTCCGGAACGCCATGGCAGGACCAACACGCCAGGCCAGAGCCCTTGGGTGGAGTGTTTCCAAGGAGAACGTCTTCAACTGGTTGCTGGCTGGGTCCCAGGAGCCATCCACCGCCCGGAAAGACGGGAATGTGCATACCAGAGGGTCCCTCCACGGAGCTGAGAGACAGACCACCAGGTCAGACGCAGGACACGTGCACAGGAGCGCAGAGAAATGCACACAAGGGTGCCCTGGGGGGTGAGGCAGGAGCAAAGCCTCCATCGGGAATGGCAGGCCCGGGCAGGAAGGCAGCCAAGGGCCCCACAGACCCTCTGCCCACCATGCGCCCTGGGAGCAGAAGGCAGTGTCTCTGCCCAAGAGCAGACCCAGGGACGGGAGATGGAGAGCCACTCTCAAACGTCATGGCCTTTTTTGATGAACAAAAACCTCAGGCCTCTAAAGGGTCAGGCCCCTGACGGAGGTCATGACAACGTGTTCGCCTCCCACAAAGCCAGGCATGTTTTACTTCCTGTGGACTATAGTATGAAAGCAGCAAGCTATTTCCTCCAATAATGATGATAGCCTTTACACATCTGTGCATATCTTGTGCTGAGCTCTTCGTGTATATTATTTCACTGAATGATGACAATCCTGCAAATAGATGCTCTCTACCTGTGCCCCTCACCATGCCAACTTCCAGCGAGGAAAGTGAGGCCCCCGGAGGCTGCCAGGAGGCCCACGCTACACACAGCTGGTGTGAGGCAGCGGCAGAACTTGGACCCGGGTCTCTCGGACGTCAGGCTGTGCTGAACTGGACGTGGAGCAGGAAGTGGCAAGCCCCAGAAGACAACAGACTACAAGGGCAGCTTTCCCCTGGGGTCTTCGGAGACCCTCCCAGAGTACCCCACTGCCCATTCCAAGGCAGCGAATCCGTGGCTTAGCCACGGAGAGCCCAGTCCCCGAGACCCTGCAGGGAGTTCCTCACACACACCCCGGAGGCCCAGGATGCCTTCGAGGTCTCCTGGGAGCTCAAGCAGAAGGAACGTGCAGGCCAGCACAGACCCTGTCTCCTTGGGATGGGGGCCAAGGTCACTGGTCCAGCACGAGAAACAGCTTCTCCCCAGCGAGTGGGCAGGGAGGACAGCGCGGTCAGCCTCGCTCTGGGGCCGGGCTGCATGTGAGGGGGCTGCCGGGACACGAACTGGGGCTGAGGGAGCCGTCGTGCCCAGGGTAGGAGCCCCCCTGCCCAGAGGCTGCAAATCCAGCGACGTGGCTGCCGGCGGTCAGGGCCGGGGCTCTATCATCAGCCGCCTCTCTCACCCGCTCCAGCGGCTATTCCCAAGCACGGACGACAGGCCGGGCTCGGACAGGCTCTCCACGGAGGGCTTGGGGTCTCGTCCCTCACAGAACTCTCCCGACCCCTGTGCACAACGGGGAAACCGAGGCTCCGAGAAGTGAGCGGCCTGACTGAAGTCCCCGAGTCAATGGCCAACCAGGGATGTGACCTCAGCTCTGGGGGATCCCAAGGCTACGGCGTCTCCCCCGAGCCGCCTGCTACAACTTCCACTCTCCACGCCGCCCCCGAAGGGCTGCTGGGCCCCCGGAAAGAAGCCCGTGTGCAGCAATAAGGCTGAGCCTGGCCCCACCCCGGGGAGGGAGTCCGGGCTGAGAGGCCTGGCGTGTGTCTGCGGGGAAGTCCGGAGCAGCCCCTGGGCCTGCCTCACGCCCAGGATGGATCCAGAGCCAGCCCGGCCGTGCTCTCTCCCCCGGCCCCACCCAGGGAGCAGCCTCCATGACGACAAGCCCATGGCCATGTCCCCACCTGGGCAGTCACCTGCTCGCCCCATCCTCCCCACAGCGCTTACAACACCCGCCGCCTGATGCCCACACTTCCCACCCCCTCGCCCTGGACCAGTGGTTCTCAACCTCCTGGCCCTTTAAATACAGTTCCTCATGTTGTGACCCACAACCATAAAATTATTTTCGTTGCTACTTCATAACTGTCATGTTGCTACTGCTATGAATTGTCATGTAAATATCTGATCTGCAGGATGGTCTTAGGCGACCCCTGTGAAAAAGGGTCGTTCCACCGCCAAAGGGGTCGCGACCCACAGGTTGAGAACCGCTGCCCTGGACGCTCCCCTGAATGGCTCTGGCCTTCGCAGTCTCCCCTTCGGCCTTGACCTCAGCAGCGACCCTGACCCAGGCGCTCCCGCGAACCACCCTCGGCCCCGTCTCACTCAGTTCATTCCACCCATGGCACGACCGGGCAGGGCACTGGGCCCACCACGCTGACCTCAGCAACATCCCGTCCCGTCTTCAGAATGTGCTCGTCCCATCCCGACACCTACCCTCCCAGAGCACCGTCGGCCCCGCCCCTCTCGCCCGACCTCGGGGTATCTGAGGGGCCGGCAGGTGCCCACAGTGGCCGCCTCGGCCGGCGCCCCGCTCCTTCCATCCCGGGGACTTTCCCAGCCCCGCTCCGGCCCCCACCACGTTCCAGGCCCGAGCATCGCCTCCCTGACCGGGCACCTTCCGTTCCACCTCTCGCGCCGCCCACGGTCAGGGACCTGCTCCTTCCAACCCGGGCCCTTCTAGTCCGGCTGAGCCCGGACACCTGCGCCCCTACCCAGGGCCCCGCGCCGGCCCGGCTCCCGCCTGCTGCAAGCCTCCGTCCCGGGCCCTGCCGCGTGGCCCGACCGCCCGGCGGGCTCAGCCCGGACCGCCACTCACCCGGGATCCCATAGCTGCGAAAGGGCAGCGTCTCCTTCCCCGGCGGCCGCGCAACCAACCTCTCAGCTGCCGGGGGGCGTGGCCTTACGCAGGGCCAAGGCCGCTTTTTGGCCAATGAGCATCTCTGAACCATTCCGCGCCGCTCGGGCTTCTGGTCAAAGGGGTGTGTCTCCCTCTGCTCCGCCCTCTAAGTGCGGTTGAGGCACGAAAGTGATCTTTTCTATCCTTTGATTGGCCAGAGGGCTTAGATTGACACGGAGACTGGTTGAGTGAGGCGGGGCAGCTCTTAAAGGGACTAAGGAAAAGCAACCGGGTGTGGAAGGGGCTTCAGTGAAGGAAGCTGTGGCCGAGTAGCCCACGTGTTTGGCTCCGGTAATTGTGCCTTGTAATAAACACTGGGTTTGGAATCAGTTCTACCACTTCAGCTCTCTGGAGTTACTCACTTTACCCCTCTGTAAAAACGAGGATGCAATTCCTGCCTCACAGGGCTTTAGGGGGGCTTGGAAGAAAACAGTGTGAAGAGCTGGGAACAGCTAAGTTTTTTGGGTTTTTTTAAATATATTTTATTGATTTTTTACAGAGAGGAAGGGAGAGGGATAGAGAGTTAGAAACATCAGTGAGAGAGAAACATCGATCAGCTGCCTCCTGCACACCCCCTACTGGGTATGTGCCTGCAACCAAGGTACATGCCCTTGACCGGAATCGAACCCGGGACCCTTGAGTCCGCAGGCCGACGCTCTATCCACTGAGCCAAACTGGCTAGGGCAACTAAGTTTCTTTTTGAAATGATTTTCTGGACCTAGATGGTTTGGCTTAGTGGATAGAGCATCGGCCTGCAGACTGAAGGGTTATAGTAGGTTCGATTCCAGTCAAGGGCACATGCCCGGGTTGTGGGCTCGATCCCGGGTCGGGGGGGGGGGGGGGGCGTGCAGGAGGCAGTCGATCAGTGATTCTCTCTCATCATTGATGTTTCTATCTCTCCCTTCCTCTCTGAAATCAATACAAATATTTTTTTTTTAAATGATTTTCTGGTCCTGACCGGAATCAAACCCGGACCCTTCAGTCTGCAGGCCAACGCTCTATCCACTGAACCAAACAGGCCAGGGCCATGGACTGCTTTTTAATTTAAAAACGTTTTAATTTCAGACCACCCTTTGTGGTAACTGTAGGTCTCTGAGTTTGCAAGGTCGCCACGCAGGCCTTCCCAGAGCCTGTCAGGTTAGCGTGTGGCCCCTTTTTGTCCACATGGGGAAGCCCAGGCATATCTGGGCTTGGATGCGGAGGTGAGAGGCTTCCAAAAGAAAGGGACCGCCAAGGGCAGGCCGAGAGAATAAGCAGGAATTAGCTGCACAGAGAGAAGGGGAAGGAGTTCAAGAAACAGCCTGGCCTGTGACACAGAGGCAGGAGAGAACCTGGCATCTTTTTTCTTTTTAATATGTTTTTTATTGATTTTAGAGAGGGGTGGGGAAGAGAGAGAGAACAAACAAACATTGATGGGAGAGAAACTGGATTGGTTTCCTTCCCCATACGCAAGTACGCACCCTGACCTGGGGCCGTACTGAAACCTGGGCACCTGCCCCGACCCAGAATTGAACCGGCTGCCTCTTGGTGTGATCTTTGGGTGCACGGGCGACACTCAACCAATTGAGCCATACCAGCCAGGGCAGAGCACCTGGCATCTTTGAGTCAAGGGGGCAGAGAGTGGCAGCCGATGAACCAAGGAAGAGGGAGCCAGAGCAGGGGAGCGCGGGCTCCACTACTGGACTGCCTGGGTTCTGGGTTCAAATCCTCCCCTTCTTCCCCTGTGACGTTGGACGAGTCACGTACCTTCTCTAAACCTCAGCTTTCTCACAGATCGGCTGGGGTAGGTGATGGGAAAGAAACACGCCAGGCGTGCAGGGGACAGCATCAGGGCGGGGAGGGCCCCAGTCCAGGCACGGAGCTCTCCACTAGGTTAAAAGATGAAGCGTAGAAGTTGTAGGGCAAGGAGAGGCGGAGACAGGTGAGAGAGGGGTGTACCAGCCGCCATCCCCGGCCCGTCTGGGGCTGGGAGGAGCTAAGCTCCGGGTCAGCACGTGTCGGTTCTCCCCTCCCCTCTTCCCCTCCTTCCTGGAACCCCTCCGCACAGCCTCCCCCAACTTTAGGGACCTGGAGAGCAGGTGGGTGGGGGAGCGCAATCAGCCGCCTGTCCCCTGGCTGTTGTCCTTAGTGTCAACAAGGTCAAGGGCGGAAGAGGAAGGTGCTGGAGAGGTCGAGGTGGTGGTGGGGGGAGTGAGCGGCGCAGAGGCTCAGGGCAAAGGAGACCGAGGGCCTCGCAGACCAGGGGGATGCGATTGGGCAGAGCGAGATGGAGACGCCAATGGGAGCGGGGCCAAGAGATGAGGAGCCCGAGAGGCCCGCCAGGCGGCGCGAGAGGCCGCGGGGACCGCAGCCCGCAGCCCAGCCCGGCCGCCCGCCCCGCCCCGTCCCGCCCCGCGGGTCCCGAGGCTCCACCCGTGCACCCCACGCCCCGCCCTGCGCGCTCGGGCTGGCTCGGCGGCGGCGGCGGGGGAGAGGGCTCCCCGAGGGCGAGGGCGGGCGCACCGGCAGCAGGTGGGCGGGGTGCGGGCCGGCGGCGGCGGGCGGGGGGCGCCAGGCTGCGCTGGGGCCGGCGCGGCCCTCCGTGTTCGCCATGGACTTCAACATGAAGAAGCTGGCCTCGGACGCGGGCATCTTCTTCACTCGGGCGGTGCAGGTGAGGCCGGAGCCCTGGGCCCGCGCGGCCGATCCCCGGGGCCCGGGTGTGGGGCGCGCCGGGAGCACCCCTGCAGCAGAGCCCGGGGCGCGCAGGAGCAGCCCCCGGAGGCTGCGCCCCTCCCCGCTGCGCAGACACCCTGGCCCCCCGCGTCCCCACTCCTGCGCTGCCCGGGAGAGAGACAGCTCCCGGCGGCCAGTCGCGCTGGCCGCGCCCTCGACGTGGCCCCGGCCGGGACCTGAGCCGGGCCGCGGCCCTGTTGGCTGCGGGGGAGGGATCGGTGTCCGGCCGGTTACCCCGCCGCCCTGGCCCCTGCCCAGGGCCCGGTGGGGGCTCCGCTGACGAGGGGAGAGGGCACCCGGCGGCGCCTGCCTCCTGCCCTGGTCCAGCAGCGGCTCTGGCTCCCGCAGGCCTGTGGAGGCCGGAGTCCCCGGCCCAAGGATTCGTGCCTTCCCTAAGATCCCGTCTCCGAGCCTCAGTCTCCGCCGCTGGGCAATGGGCTCGTGATACGATGATTCCCACGGGTCCCTTTCGCCTGCTTGGATAGGCAGCCCGGAAGGGAAGCCGGAGGGCTGGGGTAATTTCCTTTCCGCTCCCCGGGAGGCCTGTTTCCTCTTATTTCGCCAGGCCTGGGGGATGGGGAGAGGGTTGGGGGCTGGCTGAGTACCTTGGGAAGCTGTCCAGGCCCGTAGTGCTGGGATTGGAACTAGTCCCATCCACTGGGAGGCAGAGAGAGAAACGGAGGCAGCTAAAGGTAGTGGTTTAGACCTGGAGTCCGCTATGGGAGTGGGTGCTGTCTCTTGTGACCCTGGGGAAGGGGCTTCATCACTCTGGGCGTCAGTCTCTCAATCTGAAAAATGGGAATCGCCCTCCTTCCCTCCCTCCCTCTCCCCCTCCCAGAACGGCTCTCGGGGCTCCTGGCGCTGTGCAGGTGGGTGCTCCCCAAAGGCAAGCTCATGCTGATGTTGCTGCTGCACCTGTGCAGCATGTGACCTTGGGCAAGTCACTCTCCCGAGGCCTCCAGTCCCCCTCCCTGGACCTGGACCTGGTGGAACTGGTCTGCGCTGGGGCGCACGGTCCTCCCAGCGCTCTGGGAGCAGGTCTGGCTTTGTCCTTGTCATGTTGTTTGTTCTCTGGAGCAGCCCAGCCCCAGACGGTCTCTGGGAAGCCATGTGGCCGTGTTTACTAGAAAGCACAGTGGCCCGTGGACGACTTGCCCGTCGAGGCTGGGTGGCCCGAGCGTGCAGGTGACTGCAGCCCGGTGGGGATGCCGGAGCCCCTGGGACAGCCCAGTCTCTCTGGAAGGTGGGGACCCTCCCCAGCGTTGGTGCAGCAGTCGTGTTATCTCTCACATCTGGGAAGAACCTGATCTGGTTCCCGGCTCCTATGGGGCCCCGGGCACCTGACCTGGCCAGGACTGCGGAGCCTGGGCACGGGAGGCCCGGGGCCTGTGGCCTTCCTCCGCCTGGTGGGGGCAGGCCCACTGGGTGACCCACACCAGAGTGGGAGGCAGCGCCCAGGCCCAGCCTCCTGGGTGGGGGAGGGATCTGGGAACTTTATAAATAGAGGCTTTCTCTGGCTCTGCACGCCCACCCCCTGCTGCTGCCATCTTGCAGGGAGCAGCCCTGGACCGAGGGCTGCAGCTTCTGTAGCACCGGGGGAGGGTTAGGGTCAGGGCAGGGTGCAGGCCAGAGGAGGGAAGAGGGCCTAAATTTCCAACTGAGCAGGAGAGGACACTCGGGACCTGGGAGAGGAGTCAGCCAGGGGAGATGGGAGGGGTGTTGGAGTAACAATGTACCAGCAGCTCCTCTGTGTAGGTCCCGGGACCTGCTGGGGAAGCGCTCAGCCCTTGCATGTACCAGGGCCTTTAAGAGCCTCACCCCACTGCATCTGTTAGGCAGCCGGACCTGGGCTGGGGGGAGGGGGAAGAATCTGGAGGGCAGGACCCCTTGGGCATGGGTGATCCTGGGGTGGCTTCCTAGTCCCCGAACTCTGCCTTGACAGTCTGGAGGGGTTTGTGACGTGCGTCCAGGTGGTGGGAACGGCCCAGTAAGGGCACTGAGGCAGGAAAACCTGAGGCACATCTGGGTAGGGTGCCAGTGGGGGTGGGAGTGGGCTGTGGAAGTGATCGTGCTAATACTGTCAGTGGTAATTATAGTAATAGTAATAGCAGCGCTATGAGCAATAACAATAAAAGCCGGGGAGGTGGTGGCGTCGTCATGATCCAAGCAGGCAGCAGTGGACAGGGGATGGATGCCCAGGAAGTTGGGAGCGCCTGGTAGGACTTTGAACCTGGGTGGACATGGGGTGTGAGGGACAGGTGGCCACGGAGCTGGGCGGGGAGGGCTGCTGTTAACCTTGGTAAGGCAGGTGCATGTCACCTAGATGCGGTGCCCGGTCCCCCTGGGATGAGGAGGTCCCTCGGTAGCTCCTGAGAGCCAGAGAGAGACCCGAGGGAGGAGGCCTTTTGTTAGTGATGAGGACACCAGCTCACATTCCTCAGACCTGTGCTGTGTGCCGGCCCCAGAGCTAAGCACTTTCCAAATATCCTGAGAGAAGTCCTGATGTCCCCATTCTCCAGGCGGGAAACTGAGGCCCGGAAAGGTGACTGCCTCTCTGAGCCTGGGTTTCCTCATCTGGAAAATGGAGCTAAGGCCACAGCCTCAAAGGGCTGGGCGTGGCAGGTTCGGGGCCTGGCTCTGGGAGGCCAGGAGCAGCTGGTCTCAGGTGGGGAGCTGCCGGCCATCGCCCTGGCCCGCTGGGCCCCGCAGGGAGACAGAAACCCAAGCCCTGTTGCATAATTGATGGCTGCCGGGCAGCCTGACTCTCTGGCTGCCTCCCGCTCCCTGCAGCTGGAGCTGGCCTGGTCTCTGGATAATTTATTGCGCCAACAGCCTGCAAGGGCCTCCAGACCCCCAGGCCACGATGACCCGGATTCCAGCACCGTCTGCTCCTTGCTCGGCCTCAGTGAAATCATCTGTGAAATGGGAAACTTGACCCGACCTGCCTTGAAGGGCCATTAGCATGTGGATGGGTCATCAGTATAAAGCCCTTAGCACAGGGCTTGGCCACAGAGACGGGCAAGAGGAGCTGCTGTTATTACCAGTCACATTCCTGCAATGTTCATTCTTTTGCTGATTAGCTGTGACCTTGAGCAGGCGCTCTCTCCTCTGGCTGGAGAAGGCCTTTGCGTCCCTGTTTGGAAAACCTGGACATAGGTCCAGGGGCCCTTCTGGAGCAGAGGGGCCAGGACTTGGGCTGGTTTCTGGTTGTGTCTGGATGGCCCACATGGCTTCTGACAGCTCTGGCGGGGGAATGGGGTGACATCCTGGCCCCTGCCTGGCCCTGGTGTGTGGCTGCCAAGCTTTCTGGGCCCTGGGTGTGCTCAGAGTTGGCTCTGATGGGCTGGCGGTGTCCCCGTCCACCACACCAGGTGACAGAGGCCAGCCATGTGGTCCTCCTCCCACGCAGCCCTTGCATCCCAGCCGCCTCTCCTCCTATCAGCTCTTAGCAGCAGTAGCACCTTGCATTGAACACTGACTCCTGCCAGACTCTGGCTACGTGTCTTACCCACATCTCCCTTCTCTTGTGCTCGCAGCCCGTGGGGGTGGGAGTGGGCTGTACAAGTAATAGTGCTCACAGCCTATGGAGGGGGAGGGGGCTGTAGAAGTGATAGTGCTCACAGCCTATGGGGGGAGCTGTAGAAGTGATAGTGCTCACAGCCTATGGGGGGGGGGCTGTAGAAGTGATGGTGCTCACAGCCTATGGGGGGGGGCTGTAGAAGTGATACTGCTCACAGCCTATGGGGGGCGGGGCTGTAGAAGTGATGGTGCTCACAGCCTGTGGAGTGGGTGCTGTTACTTACCCCCATTTTTCAGCTCAGGAGACCGGTGTTCAGAGAGGCAAAGCCACTTGCCCAGGGTCACACAGCACATCAGTAGTGGGACTGAGACTGGAGTCAGGTCCCTGTGGTTCTGCAACCACTGGCTCCCCTGACAGACCCTCCCCAGGTGCTCCCAGCCCCCCACTGAGCCCCCTGCGGACCCCAGAACTTGCTTTGAGCGCTTTCTACCACATTCCTTCCCGCAGAGTCGGGCCGGAGGACCCTTTGTGACGGGTTCCCAAGGGTTTCTTACTCCTCTAAGCTGTATGCCAGACTTTGCACAAGTGTGCTTTTGGGGGTGGGGTGCTATAGCGTTCATTGGATTTCCAAAAGAGGCCATGATCCCCAAACTGGTCCGGCCGCCTCATTTCACAGAGGGGCAAACCGAGGCCCAGGGCAGGGTCCTAACTTGATCAGAGTTGCAGAGCAGGTTGAGGCAGAGCAAGTTTCTTGACCTTGGGGCCTGAGTTCCAGCTAGTGGAGAGGGGTAGTGGGGGAGGGGCAGGGGCAGTCCTCCCTCCCTCCCTCCCTCCCTCTGAGCCCCCCCATCCCTGGGCCCTCCTCCGCCCACAGTTCACAGAGGAGAAATTCGGCCAGGCCGAGAAGACCGAGCTCGATGCCAACTTTGAGAACCTCCTGGCCCGGGCGGACAGCACCAAGAACTGGACGGAGAAAATCCTGAGGCAGACGGAGGTGCTCCTGCAGCCCAACCCCAGTGAGTGCATGGGGGTGGCCCTGGGGCCAGGGCAGGAGGCTGTGGCTGAGGCGGGAGGTGGGCCTGGCCGGGGAGAGATCTGATTGAGACTTTCAGGCTTAAGGCAGCTGGGGAAAGACAACAGCGGAGTGGGTGCTGGGCTCTCAGATGCTGGGCTCTCAGATGCGCTCCCGGGGGCAGAGGAGATGCTGGGTTAGCACCGAGGACGGGGACGGCCTGGGAACTGGAAAGCTTGGGAGAAGAGGCAGGAGAAACAGCAGCAGGGTCCTCTGAGAACCGGCAGCGAGGCCCATGCAGGCAGAGGGCTTGCCCAGGCACCCGCAGCACCAGCACCAGCACGGGCAGCAGGCTCAGGGGAGCCCGGGTGCACGGGGCTGTGGGTGGCATTGCTGGTCTGTCCGCAAGCCCGCTGTGTGCAGGCCCAGGTTGCTCACACGCTTACCACGATCTGTAAGTGCTATTGTGATGAGGAGCCATGGCGGCCCTGACCTGGGGACCTGGGGCTGGCATTTCACGTCTGAGCGGTGGCCTCCTCCTCTCCAGTGTGAAGGGTTCCACGGGGTCGAAGGCCAGCCCCACAGGAGTGGGCATCCGCCGGGGAATATTCTGGAAATCCCAGGGCTGCTGTGGGCAGGCCCTGCTCTGGGCCTGTTTCTGTCCCCACGGCTTTCATCCTCGGGGCGGACCCAGGAGCCCGGTGACCCGGCGTGTGTCCCCCGCAGGCGCCCGAGTGGAGGAGTTCCTGTACGAGAAGCTGGACAGGAAGGTGCCCTCGCGCGTCACCAACGGGGAGCTGCTGGCTCAGTACATGGCAGAGGCGGCCAGCGAGCTGGGGCCCACCACCCCCTACGGTGAGCCGGGCCCCTTGGCGGGGGGCGCCATGGCCTCTCCCCCTCTAATTCTCCTCCCTCCCGCCCAGCACTCGTGAGGAAAACGGAGTGAAAAATGAGGTCTCTCTTACTGTGCAATGGGCTCATACTGTGTGTCCGTTTTTATTTTTTATTTATTTTTTAAATATATTTTTATTGATTTCAGAGAGGAAGGGAGAGGGGGAGAGAAGGAGGAACATCAGTGATAAGAATCATTGAGCGGCTGCCTCCTGCACGCCCCCACTGGGGACCGAGTCCGCCACCTGGGCATGTGCCCTTGACTGGAATCCAACTGGGACCCTTCCGTCCGCAGGCCGACGCTCTATCCACTGAGCCGAACCAGCCAGGGCTGTTCTTCAACCTGGTTTTCAAACGTGGCGATTCACTCTAGACATCTGTGCTCAGTAGCTCCTACAGGGCCACCTCAGTCTTTATTTTTCTAATTTGGGAAAAGTTTTATTGAGGTTTAGTTTATATATACCATGAAATGCACCTGTTTTAAGTATGAAATTCAGTGATTTTTAGTAAATTTTGAGCTCAATTTAAAGAACATTTCCATCATCTGCAAAATAAATCCCTTATGTCTACGTAGAGTCAGTCTCCACTGTCCACCCCGGCCAGCCACTCACGTGCTTTGTGGCCCTACTAATCTGCTTGGTCTAAACCAGTGGTTCTCAACCTGTGGGTCGCGACCCCTTTGACAGTCAAACGATCCTTTCACAGAGCTCACCTAAGACCATCCTGCGTATCAGATATTTACATGACGATTCATAACAGTGGCAACATGACAGTTACGAAGTAGCAACGAAAATAATTTTATGGTTGGGTCACAACATGAGGAACTGTATTTAAAGGGCCAGAAGGTTGAGAACCACTGCTCTAAACATTTCATACAAACGGAACCGTGCTGCCGAAACCGGTTTGGCTCAGTGGATAGAGCGTCGGCCTGCGGACTGAGGGGTCCTGGGTTCGATTCCTGTCAGGGGCATGTACCTGGGTTGCGGGCACATCCCCAGTGGGGAGTGTGCAGGAGGCAGCTGATCGATGTTTCTCTCTCATCGATGTTTCTAACTCTCTATCTCTCTCCCTTCCTCTCTGTAAAAAATCAATAAAATATATTAAAAAAAAAAACAAAAACAAAAAAACGGAACCGTGCAGTATATTGTGTTTTGTATCTGGCTTCACTTAGCATCATGTCTTGGAGGCTCATCCCCGTTAATCGTGTGTTTGGGGATTTCGTCCCTTTTTGTTGCTGACCAGCGTTTCATTACGTGGATGCGACACCACGGTTTCTTTGTCCGCTCACCGTCTGATAGCCATTTGGGTTGTTTCCCCATAAACACTTTCATACCAACCTTCGTGCGGACAGGTGATTTCCCTTCTCCTGGGCGTATACCCAGAAGCGAAACTGCTGGGTCGTATGGTACATTGAATGTTTAACTTTTCAACAAATCACCAAGCGCTTTTCCAGAGTGGCTGTGGTCTCACCTTCCCACCGGCAGTGTGGTGTGTGACTGTCAGACATTTGTGGACTTTCGAAGTGTCCTTCTGTTGTTGATTCCTGATTTCACTGCACGTCGGTCAGAGAACACACTTTGTATGATTTTAATGCTTTTACACTTACTAAGACTTGTTTATGGCCTAGAACCGTGGTCGGCAAACTGCGGCTTGCGAGCCACATGCGGCTCTTTGGCCCCTTGAGTGTGGCTTTTCCTAAGCCTTAGGAGTACCCTAATTAAGTTAATAACAATATAGTTTAAGTTTAAAAAATTGGGCTCTCAAAAGAAATTTCAGTCGTCGTGCTGTTGATATTTGGCTCTGTTGACTAATGAGCTTGCCGACCACTGGCCTAGAACAGTGGTTCTCAACCTTCCTAATGCCGCGACCCTTTAATACAGTTCCTCATGCTGTGGTGACCCCCAACCATAACATTATTTTCGTTGCTACTTCATAACTGTAACTTTACTACTGTTATGAATCGTCATGTAAATATCTGATATGCAGGATGTATTTTCATTGTTACAAATTGAACATAATGAAAGCACAGTGATTAATCACAAAAACAATATGTAATTATATATGTGTTTTCCGATGGTCTTAGGCGACCCCTGTGAAAGGGTCGTTCGACCCCCAAAGGGGTCGCGACCCACAGGTTGAGAACCGCTGGCCTAGAATATGGTCTCTCCTGGAGACTGTTCCCGTTCCCTCGAGAAGATCGTATACTGTGTTGTTGTTGGGAAGATGTCAGCGAGGACAGATTGGTTGATAGTGTTCACGTCTCCTGGATCCTTGCCGATTTTGTCTTGTCTGCTTCTGTCTTAACTGTCAGTGTTTGGAGCTCTATTGTTGGGTCTGTATGTTTATGTTGCATATTTTCCTGAGGAATTGACTCAGTTTTGTAACACTTCTCTTTGTGTCTAGTAACGTTTTTTAAATAATTTTTTCTCTTTATTTGATGAGTCATTTGTCGTATTTGCTTTTAATTCTTTAAACAGATTTGTAATAGCTGCTTAGAAGTCTCTGCTAAGTCTACCATCTGGGCCTCCTTGGCGACAGTGACTATTGATTACTTATTTTCCTACTTCCTGTTACTTACCTGTTTCCTTGCATGTTTCATAATATTTTGTTGAGTCTGGACATTTTACATAACACGTAGCAGCTCTGGGTTCTGCTCCCCGGGGCTGTGATTGCTGATTGTTTGTTGAGGGACTTGCCTGAGTTCATTGTTAGAGTCTGTGTCCCCTGCACTGTGCAGCTCCTGCTGTCTCTGCCTGTTTGAAAGAAACTGTTCTTTTCTTTGTGAGCCTAGCTTCCCGGGGGCTGCTCCAGGGCCGCAGGTGTGCGTGGGCAGCTGGGGACTGGTCAGAGCTTGTGCTTAGCAGCGCGCCATTAAGGCTTTGCTGACGCATTTGCGAGCGGCGGGGGAACACATTCGAAGCAGTTTACACGTCTGCCCAGCGTCCCCTTTGTGGGTGCTCAGCCCAGGATGGCTAGACAGGGGTTCTCTCCAGCCCCCCGAGTGTGCTACGTAGGCATCGCTTCCAGACCAACGGAGGTGGCTGGCAGTGTACCAGCGCCCACCGTGGCGATCTTGTTTCTCACATCTCCTCGGGATGGACTCAGGCACGCACTGGGGCCACTGTTATACGGGCCTGAGCAAAACCTCCACTCTTCACCTTCAGCTCCTGTTTTTTTTGTTTGTTTGTTTTTTTAAATATATTTTTATTGATTTTTCACAGAGAGGAAGGGAGAGAGATAGAGAGTTAGAAACATCGATGAGAGAGAAACATCGATCAGCTGCCTCCTGCACACCTCCCACTGGGGATGTGCCCGCAACCCAGGTACATGCCCCCAACCGGAATCGAACCTGGGACCTTTCAGTCCGCAGGCCGACGCTCTATCCACTGAGCCAAACCGGCTTCGGCTCAGCTCCTGTTTTAATGGCAGACAGACATTTGGGGTCTCTAGGAGTCAGCATCAATTTAGAAACGGCGTCCAGTATTCCCTGAAAACCTGATTATCTTCTTTTATCCCAAGGACAGTCATCCCGGGAAACGGTCTCCTGTTCAGTTTCTGACAGGTCTGTTGCTTGTTTGAAACACGATTCCAGCTTCAGGTTGGCCATGATGTTGGCCTTTCCTGATTATTTGCCACTGAGATCACCGTGGTTTTTTTTGTTTGGTGGTTCTCCCTTCTTTAATCCTTTGATTGTAGAGAGGGGTCCGTTGGTGGCCTCCCCTACATGCCCCGTCCCGATCGGGGATGAACCCACAGCCTTTCGGTGTACAGGACGACACTCCGACCTACTGAGCCACCCGGCCAGGGCAGACTCACTGTTTTGCCAGCCTCCGGGGTTTCTCTGGCTCCGTCAGCGCAGTCACTGACCTCAGGGCTTCTCCCTCGTGGTAGAGCTGCAGCAACACAGAGCTGGGGGAGGGGGGCGCACCCTAGGACACAAAGGCACAGGCTCCCATTGTCCTTGCGAAGGCGAAGGCGTAGTAGTTCTAGAATAAGTGCTTCTCAGTTTGTCCTTTGCCTTTTGTCAATTCCTGGAGTCCAGAAATGGTTGTTTTTGACAACTCTGTCCAGTGTTATTACTGCTCTTTGGGGAGAGGATTTGTTGCGCTCCTTTCTCTGTCATTTCAGAAGTGCCCCCCTCTCTTTAATGGCCGTGTAATGTCCCATTTCTGTATGATCCCACTATTTATTTGTCAGTCCCCGATGGAGGGAGGGATGGATGTGTAGATCGCGCCCACGTTTTTCCAGGCCAGGCGTTCTGAACGTAGCATCCTTGTGGTTGCCTCTTTGACGCGTCTCTTTCCGAGTCCCCTGCTACTTCCTGGGTCAGAAGAGCCTCAGCCTGACCCTCCTTCTCACCTTCGAGTCTGTTCTCAGGGAAGACCCTGATCAAGGTGTCAGAAGCTGAAAAGCGCCTGGGAGCCGCCGAGCGGGATTTTATCCACGCAGCCTCCATCAACTTCCTCACGCCCCTGCGCAACTTCCTGGAAGGGGACTGGAAGACGATCTCGGTGAGGGGCCTGCGACCACTCCCTCCTCGTCACCATGGCAGCCCTTTCCCCAGAGCCGCCGAGCAAGGCTCTCCTCCCGTGCTGGGAGCCCAGACCCCCTGGGGCCTCCCCAGACGAGGCTCCTGTGGACTGTTGTAGACGATCTCGGTGAGGGGCCTGCGACCACTCCCTCCTCGTCACCATGGCAGCCCTTTCCCCAGAGTCCCCAGCAAGGCTCTCCTCCCGTGCTAGGAGCCCAGACCCCCTGGGGCCTCCCCAGATGAGGCTCCTGTGGACTGTTGCTCAGAGTGGATGACCTTCCTTCTTTGGGCCTCAGTTTCCTTGTCTTGACCAGATGGCCCCCTAGGCCAGTCCTGCCATGGCCCAGGGTCTCGCAGGGCGGCCCAGCGCCTCACTGTTCCTGTTCCCACCCGCAGAAGGAGAGGCGGCTCCTGCAAAACCGGCGTCTGGACTTGGATGTCTGCAAAGCACGACTGAAGAAGGCCAAGGCCGCAGAAGCCAAAGCCGCGGTAGGTGCCCCTGCTGGCCTCCCGTGCCCGGCTCTGGGTGGAGCCGAGGAGGGGTGCTGAAGGGACCTGGTTTGGCATGACCTCTCTCCCCTGTCCTTGCCTGGAGAGGCCTGGCTGGGGGTGCTGGTCTGGACTGGTCACTTCACGTCACACCTCTATGCCCCTGCCCCCACGGGAAAACTGACAGCCCAGCGCTCGGGGTCCCAGGGCTGACATTTACGGGGTGGGCTGGCCAGCAATGCCCCAACCTGGGCTCCGGGCACCCTGCAGCCTCCCCAGACAGACACAGTTGGAGTTTCCCGCATGCCCTTGCCCGCCCTTCCCGGATGCTCAGCTCTGTTCCCAGCTCTGCCAGGGCATGGCTCCCCCTCACTAACCTCACACCCACTGCTCCGGCGCTGGCCCCAGGCGCCCCTGCTCAGGCCCCTGCGACGGTGTGGAGAGCCCTGAGCTAGACTGCCCGCTTGCGCAGGAGCATGCCGGAGGGGCCCTTTCAGGCAGCCCCAAGCGACTGGCTAGGGGCTCCCCTTCTCTCTGTCTCCGAGGCCTGCTCAGCCTGGGTGGGCCAGTGGCGTGCAGCAGGGACAGCTGGATCAGGGCTAGGCCAGGCTGGGGAGAACGGGGCCCGAGGGTGAGCACACTCTTGGGATGCCAGGCTGCTGAGGGGGGGGGGGGTGTAGGGGCCTAAAGGCCACCTCACCCTGCGGGAGGGATCCCCAGGTCCAGGCCATGCCAGGGAAACCCGTGCTCTCAGCCGGGAAGGCCGGACCCAGCCCAGGCTCCCCACAGCTGCTCCTGAGAGTTCTGGCCCTGAACCCTCCTGCGTTCCCCTCAGTGTGGCCACCGGGGGCCGTGGAGCTGGGCCTGCACTGCCTCTGGCAAGAGCCATGGACAGGGTCCTAGCTCATGTGGGTGTGTGGGGTCCAGATGGGAGGCAGGGGCTCAGCCACTGGAGTCTTGTTCAGGGTGGGTAGGATGACTAGGGCTTTTGGGATGACCTTACTGAGTCACCTGCAAGGACAGTCTCCCTGTCACTCAGGGATGGACAACCTCTCAAGAATAACTTGGCCAAGACAAGCTTTTCCTCCATCAGCCAGGCCTCTTCTCCAGTTGGTTGGACAACCTCAAGCCTCTGGGTTAGTCCCGGCTACCCTCTCCAGAGCTAGGACCTGGGCAGCCCAGGTTCAGATTCCCAGAGGACTCCCGCCCAGCAGCTCCCTCATCTCCACCCTTCTAAACGCTCACACACACAAACCAAGTCACTTCCAGAGGGCAGGTTGCGTGTGTCCATCTGCCCGTCCGCCTCGCGTCCCTCCCGCTGGGGCCAGGGGGCTGCTCCCGCCTGTGCTGTGGACTCACTAACTCTTTTGTTTTTGTTCCTTTCCGTTCTGCTTTGGGTAACTTGGCTCAGTGTGAGGGAGATGTGAGTATACCTGTCCCACGTGCTGTGCTACTTCTGGTTTGTCCATCTGGCCCGGCGCCCATGGTGCCACGGCCAGCCCAGGGCACATCCTCTGGGCCTTTTGCAAGCAGCTGGTCTCCCCATCAGAGCCTCTACCATGAGGAGCCTCTGTTTTGGGGGGAACGCCAGGCATTGGCGCCTGGGAGTCAGCTTTTTGCAAATGTGGAAAGCCCGTCACTCTGTCCATCCGTGCATCCATCTGTCCACCTTGGTTGTGGGGGAGGGGCCTGGCCCTTGCTGCAGGAGCGAGAGATGTGTGCAGAGATTCTGGGATGGAGAAAGCGGTGGGGCGGGGTTTGTTTGGGAGACTGGCGGTCCAGGGAGCAGAGGGCCTTGACCCCTGGGCCAGGGGCTGAAAAGTCTGGCTTGCCCAGAGGCAAAGGCTGTGACAACAGCCACAGGCTGTCTCCTTGTCACATCTGCTTTCCTGGCCTCCCCAGCGTGTCCACCCACTTGGTCTTTGTCTTCACTCTCTGGGTCTCCACGCCTGCCTCCTCTCCAGGCAGTGGGTGTGGGAAGAGGGTCAGTGTTGTATTTGTCTGTAGCCTCCCGTCCCTGGGGCCAGGGGCTCCTGGTGCTGCTCTGTGGGACACTCCGGGGTGGCCTCCTGGCCCCAGCCCCGCCCCGGCCCACTGTGACCCCCTCCCCCATGAACTCTGTTCCCACTAGACGGTGCCTGACTTTCAGGAGACTAGACCTCGTAATTACATTCTCTCCGCCAGCGCCTCCGCGGTAAGCGCTCCCACCCCACCCCACCCCTGTCCTCCCCGGTCCCTCCCACACCTCGGGGGTCTCTGCACAGTAGACAGGAGACAGAGGGTAAGGCAGGGGCACCGGTTGGACCAATCCCTGAAGCTCTGTCCACCTGGCTGTCCCTGTGCCCCGTGACCATGTGGCTGGCCTCACTTCTACCTGGGAAATGCTGAAGGTGGAGACCAGACCAGCTGCACTGAACAGGGTGGTGAACTTAGGACACCAGCTGTCCCATCCCCAGTGGATCTGAAAGTCTGCCTCTCCCAAACACAACCCTGACCCTCCCAGAGCAGGCACTGCCCCCACCCCACTCACCATCCCTGGCCCTACTCGGTCCAGAGGCCCAGGAGAGACGAGGCCTGGATCTGGCCGGCCATGAATTCCCAGACCCCTAAAGACAGGTGACAAGGATGGCGCTGGCCATCCAGCTGCCTTGACAGCACAGCTGCTAGGTGTCCTGGGGTGAGGCCTTGAGAACCAGCAGGGCGAGTGGAAGGAGCAGCCCAGAGGTTTGGGAACAGGGTGTGTCCTGAGACTGAAGCTGGGCGTGGGGGGGGGGGGGGAAGGGCGGGGCGCGGTCAGAAGACTTTGACTGTCTCCGTGTTTTTTCTCTCCAGCGTTATTGGGATATTTGGCATTTACTGTTTAGTCTGGGAAATAGGCCAGTCACACGTATCCCATCCTGCCTGTCACAACCATGCTGTGCCTTCTGCCTCTTCTCTGTCCTTCCATCTCCCCCACGGGTGACGTCCTCCCGCGCAGCCCTCTACTCTTCCTCCCCCGTCACAGCACACAGCATGTTTCCGTGTGTCCTCGTGCAGACCTTCAGTGGCTGGGCCATCGTCCCTCGGGGGCGTCAGCCCGTTTAGTCCGCAGGGCCCTGCTGGTGGGCGCCCATGTCTGCACACGTGGAGGTGGCTCCCGTGAGGCGGCTCCCTAGCGAGCACTGGGGGGGCATCTCTGCCCCGGGCCGGCCCTGTTGTACTTTCCGTGTCTCAGGTCCTGGACTCAGGGTAGCCTTCCTGCAGTGGGGGTGGGGGAGAGAAGTGGGGCTCCCCAGTCGTGGTGGGAGGAGGGGCCTTCTCTAGGCTCTGGACCGCACTCCCTGCCCCTTCCTGGGCCCAGAGGAGGGAGAACTGTCCTGGAGGGCGGGGGCTGCCGTTTTTCCTTCGCTGCTGAAGCCGTGTGGCTCGGGCCGAGGCTGCCTTCCTCTGCGGAAGGACAGAAAGGTCCCGTGACTGACCCAGGGCCCCAGCAGCCTTAGCCCAGTGTCAGGGTGGGGTGGGGACCCTCGGTCTTCTTGAGACCCCAGTCAGTGCCTGGGGGCTCACACGTAGGAGAAACCCAAGCAGGACTTTCCAGCTGGCTGTCCCCTCCCTGCATGTGGCATGTTGGACTGGACTGTGAGTGACATGCTCCCCTCACCAGGCCTCAGCCCAGCCTCAGCTCCGGGTTGGGTTGGGGGAGGGAGTTGGGGAGTGAATGGGTGGGGCGATGTTGGGGTCTCAAGGAGCTGGGGCAGGGCACTGGCTCTGGGGTTCAGCTGTCCTCCCCTGCCTGCTGTCCCCTGCTGACCGGTGCTCCTCCCTCCCCTGCTGGCCGGCCCTGTTGTGGTCTCCGCAGCTCTGGAATGATGAGGTGGACAAGGTGAGTGGGGCTGCAGGGGCTGGGGGAAGAGGCTTAAGGGGGTAGAGGGCGGGAGTCCAGGCACAGCTGCTGCTGCAGGGCTCAGGTCTGTTCTAGTTCTGGGTCAGCCCCACGTGCCCACTGGGGCTGCTGTGGGGGTTGTCACCTCCCCTTGTGGGGAGACCACCTCCTCTGTGGGCCCCCTGGTGACTGTTGAGTGGGGTTTTCCCTTGGTGGGTGGCGATGTCTGTGACTGCTCTCAGGGAACTGGACCCCGGGGTCTAGACAGGGCTAAAGCTCCTCCCGGGGCAGGGCTCCAGGCCTGAAATTGGGAGGAAAGTGCACCCCTCCACTAGGATGTGTGTCTGCATCGCCAGGGGGAAGTGACGTCTGTGGGGGAGGGGAGGAGAAGGCCACTCCTGGGTGGACACTGGCGCGGGAGAAGGTGATGGGAGGGGAGCTGGGGGCGACTGTTACTCTCACATTCTCATCCCACTCTTCCCAGTCTGAGCAGGAGCTCCGAGTGGCCCAGACAGAGTTTGACCGGCAGGCAGAGGTAACGCGCCTCCTGCTGGAGGGAATCAGTAGCACCCACGTGAGTGTTCCCACTTCCTCCATCATCCACTGTCTTGTCACCCGCATGTCCCCACTAAACGTCTCGGAAGCAGGTGGGGAGGGTAGTGCTTGGGCGTGTGGTCCTTAAGGGGGCAGTTTGGTCTTCAGAGAGCTAGTCCCAAAGGGTGGGAAGTCTCCGCCGGCAGGAGAGGTTGGGGCGGAAGCCACTGGGATGCTGGGCTGGGTCTGTGGGTGGGAGTGGAATGCCTCATCCCGAGACCCCTCACCACTGGCCTCTCCCCGACAGGTGAACCACCTTCGCTGCCTCCAGGAGTTCGTCGAGTCTCAGACAACTTACTATGCGCAGTGCTACCGCCACATGCTGGACTTACAGAAACAGCTGGGCAGGTGCCCGCCGGTCCCCTGGCTCACAGGCCCAATGAGCAGCCCGACCTTCTCAGCCCAGGGAACCCCACGGGACAGGGCGGGTGGAGGGCTGCTGGCCGAGCCCTCTGGGGGGCCATGATGCTCCCTCTCCCATGACGTGAGGGCGCTGGTCTTGGGACTCGGAGTGGGTTCCTGAGTGTGGGTGGCAGGTGGCAGGTGGGAGGTGGCAGGGACAGCCCGGAGCGTCTCACTTTTCCCTTCCTTCACTTTTCCCCGCATGCTGCCAGCTCCCAGGGAGCCATGTAAGTAGCCAGGGCCTCCTCACCTCTGCAGAGGGCCCAGCTGGTGTACTGGGGGCACGCGGGACTGGACATGGCTCTTGCCCACTGAGATGTGCCCCTCCTGCCCCCCCCCCCCCAGATTTCCAGGCACCTTTGTGGGCACCACAGAGCCCGCCTCCCCGCCCCTCAGCAGCACGTCGCCCACCACCGCTGCGGCCACCATGCCCATGGAGCCCTCCGTGGCCGGCCCAGCCCCTCCGGGGGAGGCCGCGCTCTGCCTGGAGGAGGTGGCTCCACCCGCCAGCGGAACCCGCAAGGCCCGTGTTCTCTACGACTATGAAGCAGCTGACAGCAGCGAGCTGGCCTTGCTGGCTGATGAGGTGGGTCTGGGTGCCACAAAGATGGTGAGAAAGGGCTGGCGTAGGCACACCTGGGAACTGCAACTGGGAGCACTGGGCCTGCAGACCCTCCACCACTGTCTTCCTCTCTGAGGGGCTCTGGGGCGGAGCTAAGACCCGGGGGTTCCTCTGGGCAACTCCAGCTCTGAGGAAGCAGTGGCTGCTCTGCCAGCCTGTGGAGCAGGTGAGGCGAACACCTCCGGAGGTGCAGGTGCCATGAATGCGGGGGGGGGGGGGGGGGGGGGGGGAGGGTATCACAGCACTGTCCTCATTTAGTCCTGGGCCAGTTTGGTCCTAGCCACCCAGGCTGTGACCTTCCCTCTCTGCCACCCTCTTCAGCTCATCACTGTCTACAGCCTGCCTGGCATGGACCCTGACTGGCTCATTGGCGAGAGAGGCAACAAGAAGGGCAAGGTCCCTGTCACCTACCTGGAACTGCTCAGCTAAGCGGGACCCTCCCAGGCCCCTGCTTGTCTGGCCTGGGCAGGAGGATGGTGCAGCCCTGCCTTTGTCTGGTCTGTTGGTGACCTGGCTGCTCAGGGTGGGGATTAGACTAACCCCTTCCTGTCGCTACTCCTGGTCATCAGCTGTGAGGGGCCCCAGAGGCTGAATGTTCCCGGCCCCTCCCCCAGCCCTGCTTCTGACCTGGTTCTGGAGCCCCCACCTGCCTGTGTCCCCTGAGCACCCCAGCCTCCTGGCTCCTCTAAGGAGGGAGGGGCTCGCTGCAGCCGCCTCACTCAGCTCCTCAGCCTGTGGGGGGTCACCTTTGGCAAGAGAGCACCTTTTAGTTGCCAAAAGCAGCGGGAGGAAGGGCAGGCGGGTCTGTGGCAGGCCCCAGGACTGGGCGTGGTCCCCTCTGGATGACTGGAGCAGAGGGGAGCCTGGCGGAGAGGCAGGGCTGGGCCATGGAGCAGCACTCCCCGGTGCTACCCTCCCCTTCGTACCCTAGAGCTCAAGCCAAGTATGGTGGCTGCAGCCTGCACTCCCCACACTTTTTAACTGATCTTTTTACTCTGCCTGTCTGCTTTGCTCTCTAGCCAGCGGCGAATAATAAACCGTTCTTTGTGTGCATGTTGACTGGGCTCCTGTCTGGGGTCCTGGAGTTCAGAGTGGGAAAGGGAACACTTCACATTTGCCCCATTCCTCCTCCTGGGTGGGGAGTGATGTACAAAATGCCATTGGCCCTCCTCCCAGAAGTACTAGGGCAGAGGGAAAGTTCAAAGCCCCGTTCACAGCACTCACTTCCCCCACAGGGCCTGTGCTCTCAGATATGAAGCTGCATGACAGACATTTTATTCCCAAGAAGAATTTCCTAAATTTGGGCAGAGTGGAATGGACTGTAGACGTGGATGGTTTAAGCTCCAGTAATGAATAGCTGTGTTTCCTGTGGGCCAGGCACGGAGCCAAGCATGTTCACATGTATTGGTCCTCACAGATGAGGGCAGATCAGAAAGACAGTCACCTCCTCAAGGTTCCATAACTGGCAAGTAGTCACACAGGGACTCGCCCAGGAAAGTCTGATTCTAGAAACCTCAAATGGTGGGTTTGGGCTACAAGCCAGGTTTTAGATCAAGGCCCTTAGCCAGGCCAGCCCATGAGGAGGCCCTGAGGAGGCCTAGGGAGACGAAGGCAGAGGCCCAGCTATAAATAGGAAGGAGCAGAGCTTCAAGAAAGGCTACACCCAGTGATAAGCTCAGCCAGCTGGTAACTGGAAGTGTGTGTGGCAGGGGTGCGGGGACAAGACCAGGCAGGCCAAGGAAGGGAAAATCTAAGTGTCCACACTGCACCCCTCCCCCTTGAACATTAATGTAATGGAGGGATGTTAGTGAGTCAACCACTAATCAACTTGCCCTCCCCAAGCCTCCCCTCCACTCCTGGGCCCCTGTTCCATGCACTGAGAGCTGCCTAGCCATTCCTGGACTTTGAAGGCACACATTACACAGCTGTCTATAAACAGTATTTTAATATTTGTATAAATAGACCACAGTATTACCAAAAACTGCAACAACAGAGTGTGGAAAACATTTTAAAACCCGTGCATACAGCCTTTCCTGGCTACACATGACACTGGCTCCCATCTCCCCTGGCCGGGGTCAAGTGCTCTGGGGAATGCTTAAAGGAAAGGAATACCCCTCTGGGGCACTTGGAAGGTGAGGGGGGAGCACAGCAGACTTGTGGCTCCTACCCCTGCTGCTGACCTTTCGATCTATTATAAAAATAATGCCAGTGTGCGGGTGGTTGGAGTTGTGGCTACTCTGGGGAGAGGGTGACAGGAGCAGCTCAGTCCCAGACGGCCCCATCAGCTGCTGTGCAGGCTGGCGGAGAATGGCAGGCGGGCAGCATGCCACTGCCCTATCTTTGCACGTGCCGGACAAAGGCCTGTACTAGCTGGATCAGAGGCTCCTGACTCTCAGGGCTGGCCTTGGAAAGAGAGGTGGACTTGCCCTGAGGCGAGAGGAGGATGCCAGCAGCAGGGGAGCTGGGGGCTCCCCTGCGGAAGTAGCGCGAGAGGCTGGAGAGCAGCGTGCTCTACGAGAGAAAAAGGAGCCTGATGAGGCCCAGCAACCCCCACCCGCGGGCTGGATTTTCCCCACCAGCTCTGCCCCCTCCAGTCAGGACCTTCGATCCCTTCTCACCAACTCTGAGCTGAGCTCCTGTTTCATCCGCTGTTTGTCCCGGGAGTGCACAGCTGGGTCCCTAAGGTAACGCATTGCCTGGGAGATGAGCAGGTAGAAGCAGTTCTCCATGGTAAACATCAGGAGGGACCTGGGACAAGGCAGGGTTGGCACTGTGTAGAGGGCCAAGCTGGCAGGTGCTAGGTGGGCCACTGAGCTAAGAGAATAGCCAGCCCGTGTCTGCTCCAACCCCAGACCAAACTCTAGAAGGGCTTTCTTACTTCAGTGTTCTGGTCCCTTCTGCCTGTGTGCTGAGCCCCACAGCCTGAGTGAGGGGCTCCTTTTTCTTATCCAGCTGGAGGAAGAGAAACAAGGGTTAAAAAAACCCAGGGCACAGTGACAGCTTCAACTCTGGGAGCTTCCTCTGTGGCAGGTCCTGCCTTACCGGTTACATCAGTTAAACCTCACGATAATTCTCAACAGTTAGGCTCCATCATACTCCTGTCATGAGGAGGAACCAGCTTGGAAGGGGAAGGCTAGGTAAACGTGCCAAGGTCAAGGGTAGGAAGTGGTAAACTGGGAGGAAGATTTGGGTGAAGGGGCCAGCACCAAACTCACCTCTCCGAGCATGTTTAGGGCCACATTCACTGTGGCCAGAAGGGTCCCAAAGGAGGGGGCCACTTCAGAGTCAAAGGTGGGCGTGGTGAAGCTCAGGGCAAACAGGAAGTTGTATTCAGCAAGGTCCAGGGACTGCAAGGCAAGACCAGAGCATTCTAGGGCCCAGCTAGGACCCCAGACAGCTCTCGAGAGCAGGGCACAGCCAAGCCTTCAGATCACGGTGGGAGGCTGGTGGCGCAGCACAGATGGCACTGGTACCTGATCCAACAGGATCTGGCAGACGTCCGGGGTGAAGTGGCGCAGGGCCGCCAAAGTCCTGCTGAGGATCTTGAGGAGGCCATACTGGACCACATGTAAGGCTCGCTGCTCCGAAGCCTCTGTGTCAGCAGTGGGCTGCTTGGAGGAAGAGGAGGGGGCAGCAGGAGCAGCTGTGGGTGGCCGCTGAACTCGGGGTGCAACAGCTGAGGGGCCACCATCCCCATTTTTGTTCTGGAGGAGACAGAAGTGGAGGTGGAGCACAGAAGCTGGGGTGAGGCACTCCAGGCAGCCATGGGGGATGGGGGTGGGGTTAGGGGCGGGGGCGGGTACCTGCAGGTAGTGCTGTAGCATCTTCCGGCTGTGCAGGAGGGAGGTGCAGGCCTGGCACAGGTAACCCAGGTTGACCTGTGGCAAACATGGGACGCTGAGGGCCTTCTCCTGGCAGCAGCCCCAGCCAACTGACTAGATCAACCACACAGGTCTCTACAGAGCACTGTGCTCCCAAATCACGGAGCACCTGCACTCTGGGCCCACTCTCGCCGGGATGGTTTCCCAGGGACAGCATCAGTCCTCAGTCAGTACATAAGGTGGGATCATTTCCCCCTTTTACAGAAGCAGAAAAAGGCTGAGAGAGAGGTGAAGGGATTTGGCCAAGGTCACAACCAGCACAGACAGACACCTGCCTGTCAGACTCCAGAGTCTGTTCTTTCCCTGCCCTGCTCTCTGGCTGGTCCCAGCTTCAGACCTGTTTCTAAAGGGTCTGACCGCTAAAGCCCGGGCTTTTAACCTACAAGGCTGCCATATGCCGGGAGGGAAACATTTAGCTCCAGAGAAAGCAACAGGAAACCAGATCTTGTGCTCCCTAAGCCAAAGTCCCTGGAGGCGCCAGGAGAGTGCCCATCACGCCTTGTCCCCAGGCCCCTCCAAGAACCTGTGCCTGAGTCCCACCTGCACATCTCGCAGGAGCTGAGGCAGGTGGAAATGCCACTCCTTCATGAAGCTGGAGAGCTGCAGAATGAAGCCCACCGTGTGGTCTGCCTCCTCCAGGCACGCCAGACTCTGCACCGTCCTCACCGCGTTGAGGCACTGGGAGGGGAGAGGAAGGAAGGATGGGGTGAATCAGGGATCTGACACACCTGCCCTGCCCTCCTGTGGGGAGGACAGGTTCTGGGCACACAAACTGAAATGGCAGTACAACAGGTGGTTTGGTGTTCCGACAACAGGTTCTGTCTGAGATGATCCCAAACTGTGTTTCACTTGGCAGAGCAGCTACATGAGTTGGCCAATCAGCCAGCAGTCCTCAGAGCACAGAACTGGCCCGGCCGCTGTGGCTCTGTGGTTGAGTATTGACCTATGAATCAGGAGGTCATGGTTCATTCCTGGTTAGGGCACATGCCCCGGTTGCAGGCTCGATCCCCAGTGGTGTGGCATACGGGAGGCAGCCGATCGATATTTCTCTCATCGATGATTCTATCCCTCTATCCCTCTCCCTTCCTCTTTCTAATAAAAGTCAATACTTTTTTTTTTTTTTTTTTAAGAAATGGGGAAATGATGCTCCTTAATTACCAAGCCTCAAGCCCTGAATGGCCCAGACCCCAGTAACTCCCAAACCTCATTGCCTGGCAGCTTCTCACTTGTAAGGTCCGCTCCTGGTGAACACCCACGAAGTCCAGAGCCTCGGTCAGGAAGTTGTAGCGCAGAGTTTTGAGGAGCCGTTCCATTAAAGACATGGACAGGCGATAGACCCCTGGCCAAGAGGGGGCATCGAGGGATTTCCGAGAGGTGCTAGGTGTCTAAGACACAAATGAAAGACAAAATCAGGACATGGGTCCAAGGAATCTGGCTGACAGGTACAGCAGGGCCTCAATGCAGCATAGATGCTAAGGCAGTCTGGTTGCTTAGAAAAGGAAACCTCTGGAATGGGCATGGTCACTGCCTGGTCACTGCCTCTCTCAGCAGGACCAGAGAGAGCCTGAGGCCAGCAGTGACAAAGAAAGAGCACTAAGCAGAAATACAAGAATCCTGGGTTCTAGACTTGGGTCTGCCACTAACTAGCTGTGTGAGCTTCTCTTGCAGGCAATGAGCGTGGGTGGGAGGATTCTGGCCCATCAGTACAGTAAGTACCTAAACAACTAAAGAGAGCAACTTCTGGGGCCAGTGAAGGGGCTGCAAGTGTGCTCTTCCCCGGAAGTGCAGTCTGGGCAATGGCTGCCAGGCCATTGGAACTCACCTGCACCGTGCCATTGGTGCTGAGCTGGTACACACTCAGGAGGGGCAAACAGATGCTCTGGGTGATGCCGGCTCCAGCCACTGCTGCGGCTCCCTGGGAGAGAACGACATGGAATGAGATGGGACCTGTCCCTGCAGCCAACCCCCCAGGGCGAGGGGAGCTCTGAGTAGGCCAGAGCTTCTGGGAGACAGAGACAGTGCCAGAACCCACTCAGCACAAACAAGGAGGCTCCTTTCTGCCTCGTGCTTGCCGCCTACCTGCTGGGTGCGAGCCAGGGTGAGGAGCAGGTGCAACGCTGCCTCGGTGAAATGCAGGTTTTGCTTCATGCGAAGGCTCACCTCCAGGGTGGTAAAGAGGGTTGGCAGTATGGGGAGCCTGCGGGTCACCTGCAGCCATGAGTCACCATCCTCATCTACCTCACACAGCTCCTTGGCCAGGTGCAGGCCCAGGACACACACCTGCTGGGGCCCAGAGGTAAAGATGAGCAGAAGAGAAGGAAGCAGTGCAGGGGAAGGAAGAGGAGGAGGAGAGGACAGCCAGCCTGCACCTGATCATACATCTCTTAAGCAAGCTGGACTGGAACACAATTCAGAATTTCTATCAACCCTGCTCTGCTCCCTCACCCACCTCTCAGAGACTCGCAACCCCACCCACACTAATAAGCCATCCCTAGACTAACAGAACTACCAATGACTTCTTCCCCCATCGCCCACACTGCCATCACCTGTGTTGGTGCTACTTCCTGTCCTACATCTGCCCACTCCACCCGACTCTGGTAGCATACAGAGTCAAAGTGACCCCTTTCTGCACTATTGCAGTCACCCCCTAAGTGGCCTTTCTTCCTCCTCTCTGGACCCTCCCAAAACAATTCTTCTACCAGCGGCTTTTCAAACATTTTTTAAAAATATATTTTTATTTTTATTGATTTTTTACAGAGAGGAATAGAGAGTTAGAAACATCGATGAGAGAGAAACATGGATCAGCTGCCTCCTGCACACCCCCCACTGGGAATGTGCCCGCAACCAAGGTCCATGCCCCTGGCCGGAATCGAACCTGAGACTCTTCAGTCCGCAGGCCGACGCTCTATCCACTGAGCCAAACCAGTCAGGGCTCTAACATTTTTTTTTAAAATATATTTTATTGATTTTTCACAGAGAGGAAGGGAGAGGGATAGAGAGTTAGAAACATCAATGAGAGAGAAACATCGATCAGCCGCCTCCTGCACACCCTCCACCTGGATGTGCCTGCAACCAAGGTCCATGCCCCTGGCCGGAATCGAACCTGAGACTCTTCAGTCCGCAGGCCGACGCTCTATCCACTGAGCCACACCGGTCAGGGCTCTAACATTTTTTATGACTGCAATAATAAATACCTTAAGACTGTGTCCTAGTATACACATTCTTATATATTTCCATTGAATACTATTCTTACCTTATATCCCGTAAAGCACGCTAATATTTTTTTTTATAGCATTAAAAAGAAAAATACTGGTCTTTACCAAATGAGCTCATTTCAAGAACCAGCAATAGGTCATGACCCACAGCTTGAAAAACAGTTTGCTACTGCATCCAGAGTGATCTGTCTGGAGTATAAATCTCGTCACTTCTCACCCTTGCTTACAAGCCTGTTAAACTGGTTCTTATTCCACTGAGGACCCAGAATAAAAACCCTGCAACGCTTCCGGTCATCTAGCCCCCAACTCTGCAGGCCTTACTTCCTCTCTGCTCACAACAGCCTGCTTTAGGTCACTGCTGAAACGGTGCTTTCTCGCTGAGTCTCTAGACCGGTGAGAACCACACACTGCGCAGTCTCCCTGTATTGCTCCCCTGCTGGACCTGCCACATGGAATTCTAACACTTCTTTGCAAAGTCTGAAATTTGTTAACTTCCTCACCAGACTGAACTCTGTAAGTGCAGTGACTGTCTTGTTCACTAATCACGTGTAGGGCCTAGCAGTTCATATTTGTTGGGTGCATGTGGAAAGGACAGACAGCTTCCCAGCATGCCCTTACCCCATCACGCTGGTCCTTGTGCCGGGGCCGAGAGCAGTCATCAGTCTCCATGCTGTCCTTGTCCTCCGTGGCGCTGCCTGATGCCAGACTGTGGCGGGTCTGGTCAAAGAGCGCAATCACCTCTTCTTGGAGGGTTTCACAGACGTTAAGCACTAGCTGAGAGTACTGGGGGATGTCACTGACTGCAAAGCGACAGGGAAGAACACGGTCACACTCACCATGCCACCTCTCACTGAACGCCAAAGTTTTCTTCCCATGCAGATAGCTGGGAATAGAGTTATCTGTCCCATGAGAGGGGAGGAGAAACAGGTGGGGAAGAAAAATACTTTTCCCAAAGACCAGAGTTCCAAGACTGAAAATTCAACCCCCACAGGAGGAACGTCTGGCTCTACGCCAGAGCAGCCTGGCTGCCAGCAGGGATGGGAGACCGCTACCGCCACCACCTCTGCCCCTCACCTCTCATCTCCTTCATCTGCAGCACAGTGATGAATGCCGAGAACACCTTGGCCTTGGTCTTCTCCATGAGCTGCCGGTCTGCCTGCAGCACTCCCTCCAGGATCTCTGTCAAGGGTGCCAGCATCTCATCCACAGGACCTAACTCTCTAGAAATAATATGGGTCGAGAGGGAGGAAAACAGCTCACAGAAAGGCCACGACTGCCTTTGCTCCAACTCAGGATGCCCACTGGGCAGTCGGCGGTCAGCCCCGTTGCGGGATGGAAAGCTAGCCCATTACATACCCGTTTTCTCCCTTCAGGAAGGCAAAGGGTCAGTAAAGAGGATGGAGCAGGCCCCGGGGAGGCAGCCCTGGCCGCAGGCCGCCTCTCCGCTCAGCACTCACCTCTTCCACTGCCGCAGGAGGACAAGCAGCAGAGTGCACATCATGGAACCGAGGCGGAGGCAGCTGACCGAGGCTGGGACCAGGAGCTGAGGTAAGACAGCACAGGTACAAGTCAGGCTTTCTGGGGCTGGTCCAGCCAGAAGATTCCAGCTCCGTCCACAGGGTGCCTTTTGGATTCATGCTGTTATTTCCGAGCAGTGAGCTACAGGGGCTGGGACATGGGGAGAGGCTAGGGGCTGGCCCAGCAGCAGCAGAGCTCTGCCTCCCACCGCAGCATCAGGCCTCCCAGGCCAACTGAGCCCTTTGACCTGACCACTTGCGAGACTGCTGACTCGTAAGCTCCTATTTGACCTCGGAGACCTTGTCCCGGGGAGGAATGTGAAATCTCCCAGACACACTTACTAACGCTTTGGTCCCATCAAGCACATCAAGAAAGAGCTGGCGACGCACTGCAGAGTCGGTCAGGTGCAGTATCTCTGCCTGCAAAGGACAGAAAAACATGTCAGTTGGGAAAATTTCCCCGACTTTAGAAGCCAAGAAATGTGGAGTCCTCTGTCAGGCAATTGTCACTGAGAAGTCATTGTCTCCCTGAATGAAGTGGGGCTGGAGGCCCCTGGTGTTTCTGTCTACCCTTAGATAAGGTCAGAATCAAGCCCAGCCTCACCCCCTCCTCCTGATGACATCCTTCCTTTGCTCAGACCCTGTGGAGGCTGCCCAGTGCACTGGAAAGACAAACTCCTCAACAAGGCTTGGGAGGCCCCATGGGACCTGCGCCAACTGCTTTTGCATCACACCCACTCGTGTTCGCTCTGTTCTAGCCCCAGTGGCCTCCTTCCTCCTCTGTGAACATACACGCTCTTTCCCTCTTCTGGACCCTGGCGCTTGGGTCCATCTGCCTAGACTGCTCGCTTCCACAGGCTCTCCACCTGGAAGACTCCTTCGCACCTTCAGGCCTCAATCTGGTCATCACCTGACTATGCCTATCCTACTTTGGCTTCACTACCATAATCTCCTAAGTATTTCCTTCACGCGAATCATCACAATCTGTAACTGTATTTCTTCATGAGTTTGTTGACAATTTGCCTCTCTCTCAGGACACTCTCCATGAGCTCAGACTTTATCTGCCTTGTTCATTGCTGTAGCCCTGGTGCCTGGCACATGGGCAGGCATTCCACTAACATCCATTCAATGAAAGTGAATCATCAATATCCTGGACTTAACCAGATAGGTTTCCTAGGAGGGGAAAAAGAATGGTGGGATTTTCCAAAATTAAAGAACTACTGCCTAGCTAGGGCCTAAAAGGCAGGTGACACACAGGTTATTCCCAGGGGTAAATCCATTATTCCCCAAAGATGGCTGAGCTTTTGGTGTGTCTGCAGTCTCAGGGCTCCACAACCACTGTGCCACAGCAAAGGCCCAAGGTCATGGGCAGTGTGGCACTAAATAAACAAGTCACAGATGTTAAGAGTATGCCTGAAACAAGGGGCACTTATCAAGCTGAAGCAATTAATGAAGTCAAGGCTCCCCAGGAGGAACAGTTCCACATCCAGTCCTTACTACACAGCATGGTGGTGTCCAGCCACAAAAAAGGCAACCTCTTCTCAAATGTTAACTCTCTAAAAACCAATCCTCAGGGACACCTGTACAGACAATGCCTCTGTTCTTTTTCTAAGACCAGGAATGCAGTTCCTAGGACCAGTGAAAACAAACCGCTCTCGACAGAGGCTGCTGCTGCATCTGTTACAGCTACCTCACGAGTCAACAAATGTTACCTACTGTCCCCAGGGCACACAGCATGAGACAGCGCATGTGTAAGGGAGGTAGATGAAGGGGACCCCAAGACCTATGCAAGGCTGTAAAGACAGCTACAGCAATCTTTATGAAATGACTGAAGGGATTTCAAATCACTTCTCTGCACTTTTCATAAGGGTTTCTTGTTGGACCGAATATCATCAAATACCCCATATTAGCCCCCATTTTTTTACACAGAACCTGTTACATTTTAGCTCTCAGGGAAATACCCTGACTCATTCTTCATCCCAAGGGGCTGTTAACTACTAGGCACCCTGGCACATGGTTGCTGTGAAAACTCGCCCCAAGAGGTTCTTACGTGGCTGGTGGCAATAATGAGAAGCATCCTCCAGGCGGAGACCAGCATCTGATACTCGACCAAGGAGGTACAGCTGCTGCCCTCTGTGTCGGCTGTGTGAACCGCCAAGGACTTGACATACCCTGACCAGTAGGCAAAGCGTTTCTCACTGGAAAATTTCTTGAGTGTATCTTTTAGTGACTGGTCTAGTGAGCCCCTAGAGTGTCAAGAAAACACAAAACCTACCATTAGGTTTTAGAAAGGAGATGGGAATGTGATGGGCACAGACCCTTGTTGAGGCAGAGAAAGCAACCTCACATGGGCTAAAGGCAGACAGCTCCAGATCCCTCCAGTGTGTGGGGCTCATGCTTCTTGCTCAACATAATGGGTTAGGCTGAGGCCTTTTCCAGGATCCCTCCTCCATAAAATCCCGAGCAATGGAGTCTGCTTCACAATAACTCTTTCTGATAACCATAAATGCCATCAATGGACTGGCCAGGGACATAGCTCAGTAGCCCTCCATAAATGGCCCCAAACAGTTCTCTCCTGACTCGGCTTGTACAGCCATGCACCCAGTGGTAGGCCACCGTGATCCCCCTCCCAGACCTTTAATTAAACTCTAAAAGGGGAAAGGACTCACTTAACTACATAGTATATCTCCAAGCATATTATCTTCATGATCAGGGCACAGGTTTCCAGGATGCTGGGCTGTGGAGGGAAGAGCAGAGCAGACACCAATCACAGGCGATCCTCTTCCCTGGTGTCCCCCACAAAGGAACCTATTCCCTATCGCATGCGAATGGGCATCTGACTTGCAAGAGCACGCGCGTCAGGTCCACAGTGTCTCCAAGTCAATGGAGAAGACCACGGAGCCATCAACACCGAGCAGGGCACGCCACCTTCCTTCCCAACGCAAGACATCGAAGGGAGGGGGAGCGAGCGCTTCTCTGAGAAAGACGTTTCTACTGAAGAAAGCACGCTGGCTGTTTACTCAGGGAGGCGTCCCTTTCTGCAGCTCAGTCTCCACAGCCCAGCCTTTCCTCCCAGGAACTCAGTCCCTGTCCACCTCACCACAGCTTACCTCAGATGTTTCTGAGGGAGCAGAGAGGGTTCCAAACAGTGGACTTGTTAAATTCTCCCAAAACTTGGGTCTAAAAAGAAAATACATGTTGTAAATCACGCCTTCTCTCTCTCAGTCCTTTCCCCGCTCCCTTTCGTGGTTACTTCCTGTTTTTCAGTCTCATTTCTAATGTGTCTCACAGGTCACTGGCTCCTACCGAAATGCAAAGGTTTTCCTCTTCAGAAACACAACTGTGTATCACCGAGCTGACCAGTAAGAACTCTCAGGGTGCACGCCACTGTCCGTCTCTGACAGCCCCACAGAGAGCGGGGAGGGCAAGCAGGACAGACGCCCATGCTGAGCCACGTTAAAGCTCCTTCCCTCTGTGCAAACGGGGCCCGAGACGTACAGTGTGCCGTTCAGTTCACTGCGCAAGCAAGGCACACGCATCTGAACACGCTGTTTCTCAACAACAATGGGATTGGGGTTGGCAGAAGGCGGGAACTCTAACGTTAACACATCTTTTCCTCAGAGCAAACATGACGCCTGCTGGTGGCAGCATTAAAAAGAATAGCTAAGAGTGACACTCCCATTCAGAGACCCGGGCACTGATCTGCTCAAGGATCCTTCCCAACCAATTGCTAAGATAGGAGCTACTGCTACCCCGTCTCACAGGCAAGGACAAGAGCTCTGGAAGAGTCAGACCTACTTGGTCCTGAGAACCAGCATGGCACTGTCCCGCCGGTCCTGCCACAGGGCATGCAGAAAGGCGATGGCTGCCCGGTGCAGCAGGGGCGGGCACCAGTAGCGATCCTGCTGCTGGGAGTCAATCAGCTCCAGGACCGCATGGAGACAGCTCCACACCCCAAGGCTGAACTCCTACGAGAGGGGCAGGTGAGAGGTCAGGGCCACAGCCACCACCAGTAATTGTGCACACAGAGCCCAGCACCCTCCTCCCAGCTTCGCCCCAGGTGCAGGCTCACCTTGGAGCCATCACTGCCATCCTTCACCTCCAGATTCAGAAACAGCTCAATGAGGCCTGGCTGAGTCTCTACTGCAACCGTGAGGAATTCCAGGATCATGACTTTGATGCGCATGTCCTCAATCTTGCTCTGCAATCGTGTCAGGAAAGCGTCGCGAATGGCAGCCGCATCATTGCCCAAGCAGGCATACACTGACATCGGGGCCACCTGGTGGAGACGGGACACACAGGCTCAGAGCGCTACTTCCAGAAAAACCAACAGGCTCCTGCAGAAGGGTGCTGGAGAACTCTGAGAATATCCAGGCATACACAGCTCTGGGTCAAAGGGACATCACCCCAAACTACAGCACAAGATGCCCATCCAGTCACAGGAAAAATAGCAATCAACAGACAAAGATGCACAACCTCTCTCATGATTAAATAAATACAAAGTAAAGCATGAGATAATATGGATTTGCCCACTAGCAAGGATTTTAAAAAAACAGGAAAGCATACGGCAGAGATACAAGACTTGGTGTTACGAGTATAAACTGTTACAATCCTTTTTGGAGGACTATATGGAAATGACTGAAAAATTTTAAATGTTCACTGACATCTATCTAAGTTTTAGAAATTGTAAACAAAAGTTTACAGAGTTCTATAGGTAATGTTTACTGCAGCACTGTTTACGGCAGTGAATGACAGAAACTAGCCCAAACGAATTAGGGTGCACCCACTCTATGGCGTACCAGGCAAGCGTGAGGGAGAAAGAAGTAGCTTCAATGTGCCTGCATGGAGGACTGCAAGACATGGTGTGAAGTGGAGAGAGCTAGTTACAAAACAGGATGCGTAGGGGAATTCCACTTCTGAAAAGAGCAAAAGCACACACCCAACACACCCTCTACTACACAAGCACAGGCAGATCCGGGGCAGTGCATACCAGCCTGCTCACAGGGGATCTGGAACGAGGGGTCAGAGGTACCTTAACTTTCTGTTACATTTATCTGTATCATTTAAATAAATATTTAAAAATAAGAATATAAGACTGTTGTAATGAAACAAAAATACCCCCATAAAACACAATGTGTGTGTGGGTGTGTGTGTGTGGGTGCGTGTGTGTGTGTGTGTGTGTGTGTGTGTGTGTGTGTGGCTACTTCACTTTAAAAGTCAGAGAAGTCCAAGTTAGCTGCTTCTCTTGGGAGAAGGCAAGAGTGATCACCAACACAAAGTCAGTTTTCTGGGGCTTCGGTTGGTTAAGTGGGATCCTACCGTGGCCAGACGTTTCAGCAGCTGGATGGCCAGACGTGGCAAAGCTGGGTCATGTTTGTGGTAGATGTACTTGGCAAGAACAGCAATGAGGTTGTTCCCATGGGCACCTGAAGAAGCACAGGAAATATTTTAAACACCAACTGTGCCTGATTCAAGCTTTTAAGAGAGGGTGCTATTCATAAAGGCTCATTCATATGTGAGGGAATTTACTCTCAAGTACCTGGAGGGCCAGAGCGAATCCAGGTGGCCCTATCATTCTCTTTTTTTCAGTAGCTAAGGCAGGATTTAGGGACAAACAGCTCAATGCAATTTATTAAGAGTAAAAAGAAATACATTTTCAAGAAAATAGGTAGTCTTTGATCAAATAGGCTAGAAAAAGACATCGCACTGAAGCACTGCACTGACATGCAAAAATATTAATGCCAATATGATACAGGTAGAATAGGTCTGAGACATTATCCCAATACCTACTTGAAAATGAGCAAACTGGTCCCAAAGAATTAAACGAGTATTTAAAATAAAAGAGTAATAACAGTCAATATTTAAACAGGAATTTCCAAGTCTTTCATTACAATCTTATAAGGCAGACACTACTATTGTCCCTACTTTATAGACAAGAAACCTAAGGCAGAGATGTTTAATAATGTGCCTAAGGTCACACAGTAGTTTGGAGCCACAGTTTGAACGAAGGCAGCCTAATTGAACATGCGTTCTAATTATTCGGCCATCAGGAGGAGGGAGAAATGAAATATGATCCAGTCCTCTTATTTCTAAGTCCAGGTTGTGAGCTGGTGATCATTCCCAAATTTTAAGGAGTTACTCAGAAAATACCGTTGACCCCTAAAAACACAGCCTAAAAAGTATGTACTTATGAGCAGAAACACGGCTAACTGGAAGAGAAATACATACCATGTTGGGTGAGAGCCTGTTCCAGAGGGGACACCACATTAGAGGGAGGTTTCAGCCGAATAACATTGTTGGTGATGGAGAATGCCAGTTTCACTGTCTTGATCAGCAGCTGGCCCTGCCCCTGGCCCTCTGCCCCATCACTAGGGTGCCAAATGGAAACCAAAGTTGATTCAGGCAACATGACTTCATTCACAACATATGTGCTCTCATGAATTAGATTCCAACCATACCAACCATAATCCCAGAGTTCAAATAGCTTCTGCTAGAGGCCCCAGGCCAAACTAGGAGACAGGAGGAGCAATCGACTCCCTTTGCTACGTGCCAGTCTATACAGCACCACTAGGTTATATACAGGCCATGTCCTCGGAGAAATAAGGTTATCTTTAAAAAGCTACAGCACGCCCTAACGGGTTTGGCTTAGTGGCTAGAGCGTCAGCTTGTGGACTGAAGGGTCCAGGGTTTGATTCCGGTCAGTGGCACATGCCCAGGTTGAGGGCTCGATCCCCAGGAGGGAGTATGCAGGAGGCAGCCAGTCAATAACTCTCTCTCACCATTGATGTTTCTGTCTCTCTCTCCCTCTCCCTTCCTCTCTGAAATCAATAAAATATATAAAAAAATAAAATAAAATAAAAAGCTACTGTGTGCTAACTTAAACTGGAGTTCTTAGAACATGCAGGCACAATAAAGGTAAATGGGGGAAGGTGGGGAGGGAGCCCTACCTGCGGGGCTGAGCAGCCATCACCATGTCGATGGTGTCCACGCCGATGCCCATGATATTGATAACTGTCTGTCCTGCTTCTGTATAGGCCAGGCTACAGATGCAGAGGGACTGCAGGCTGGGGGTGTGGCTGGAAAACAGACACATTCTGAGTTACTAGGGAGCCACCAAGTCTATTACTGGAAGAAAAAGCAATTGTCCAAACCTAAACAACTGGACATCAGTGATACAGATCAGCTCTTGGCCAGACGAAGTCACTCTAATCACTTTCTCTAAAAAGACTTGATTTTAAAGATCACCCTGAGAATCAATCTAAATGTCCATCAATTATTGGATATGTTTACTGAAATGAATTATGATTAATTCACACATTGGAATGCCTGGAACCATTAAAACAAGGCAGATCTGTATGTAGTGGCATGGAAATAAAGTTACAGAGCAGTTAGTATAAGCAGAGGAAGAAACCTAGAAGAATATACACTAACTAGGTAATAGTCATCTCTGGAAAACAGGTTTGCAAAGGGCATTTTGCACTGATTGAGTATTTTCCAATGAATATGCATAACTTCTGGAAAGATCATAAAAGTGATATGAGCAATGAGGGAAAAATGGGGCATATGTAATACTTTCAACAATAAATATTTAAAAAGAAAAAAAAGTGATGTAAGTGTGTATGTAACAATATCATTATGAACAATCTTGTTCCCAATTCATTTGTTCTCTCTCAACAGGAAGAAAGAGTGAACAGTCCAGTGAAAAACAAATCAGAAGCTCAAGAGATGGTTCTGGGCTCAGCCTGTGGAAGGCTGAGCCGGCTCTGCACAGCAGAAGCCCACGCTTCCCCTGGTGACTGGCCGCATCCAAGACCACCAAGCTCTAGCAATCACCCCTCATACCTGCTGTGGTCTGTCTCATGGCACAGGTTCAGTATCGCATGAATCAGCTCCAGGATTAGGCAACCTAGACTCCAGAAAAGACATAGGAATGATGTGGCCTTGTGTGATGACGCTTTCCCCCCAAAGAGAAAGATCTCCAGGGAGCCAAAAACTCCGCAGACCTTCCCTGCCCACACTTTCCTTACCGATCTGCTCTCTCACACCGTGGGAGTTGTAGCGCCACTTGTGGTAGCTGGGAAGCATCTCCTTCAGCACAAACATGATGCAGGGCACCAGTCCTTGGCTCTGGGTACTACCAAGCTGTCCCTACAATACACCGTAGTGAGAGGACTTATGCTATTTAAGGAAAATAACTTAATTAACGGAGATTTAACTTCAAAACCATACGTCCAAAGGAAATCTGGGTAACCTGAGTCATTAGTGGTGAAAAAAAATCAGAACATTCTAGTGTAACGAGTCCAAGCTGTACGATTCTCCAGAATAGAGAAAAGGACTAAAAAGACGACGTGACTCTGTCACAAGAGGCACCTGCATGAAAGAGAGAGACAAAGGCTCAATCTGGTCAGAAAGGAGGGACCTTAAACATAAAGGCTATGGGACTGTCCATAATGGAGAATGCTCATCTCATTGTGGTTATCACCAGCATCCCCCCAACCTCTATGTCACTCCGTCACTGGAATACCAGAAAGGAGATCTGATAATATTCTTTGTCCTAATATTACTTGTTAACATCAGCTACCTTATTTTTAAAATGGGGATTTGGGGGACATCTCTAATACTTTCAACAATAAAGATTAAAAACATATAAATAGAAAATGAGTTAAAATGGGGATTCTTTATATTTAATATCTATATTTACATCCCTATCTTAATCTATAAAGGACTGTAACTATCTTTTGAAGCATTCACTGACTGAGTCCGACAGGCAGGAAGTGTGCCAAGTGCTTTTTACATACGGCCCTCTCAACAACTCCATGAGGTGGAGACCACTGATCATTCCTATTTTACAGAAATGGAGAAATTCTATACTTGCCCCAGCTTATGCAGCCAGTAAGTGGTCAACCTAAAATGTAAACCTAACTCTGACTCCAAAATCCATGCTATACCAGTATTTTTCCAACTGAGTTGTCATCCATTAGTGCAGCATTTTCAGCTTTTTTCATTTCATGGCATACACAAATTACTAAAATTCTGCAGCACATCAAAAAATATATTTTTTGCCATTCTGACAAAAAAACTAAATGGAAAAAAAAGAAACATCAGAACACTGTAGTGCAATGAGTCCAATATAATTTTGATTCATACTGGATGGCTACTGTTGTGTTGGCTATTGTCATTCACTTGACAATCTAAGGGAAAAGAGTCAGTGCCCCCAACTAAATAGATATTACATGTCTTAAAATTCTTGCGGCCCACCGGTGTCGTACGTAGCACACTAGTTGAAAATCACTGCATTAGTGGATTGTGAGATCACCGTCTTAGAAAATATCAAAGTGAATCTTGTGTAGTAAGAGTAGTGTCATATTGTGAGCGTGGCTGGTGTGACTGAGCATCAACCTATGAACCAAGAGGTCGAGGTTCAATTCTCGGTCAGGGCACATGCCTAGGTTGTGGGCTTGATCCCTAGTGGGGGACATGCAGGAGGCAGCCGATCAGTGATTTTCTCTCTCATCATTGATGTTTCTGTCTCTCTCTCCTTCCTTCCTTCCTCTCTGAAATACTAAAAAGATACTAAAAAGATATTAAAAATAAACAGTGTCATATTGTGAAACTTGTTTTAGGAGTACATATATATACACATGGATTTACTGGAACGTGATATAAAATAGACATAGTACCTTGGGCTACAGTCAAAATAGCTTGACACTCAGTGCATTACACCAACCTGTTTTGAGGATTAAATAATTTAGATAAAGCACCTACTATAGAATCTGGCACACAGTAAATACTCAGTACACACAAACTACTACCACCATAACTTCAAGCCAACTGTTCTGCCTGCAGACAAGTAGCAGGGGCAGGGAAATTATTCCAGATGATTCTATCTGACCAGATTTTACCTTGACAAGAGTGGTGATCAACCGGAGAAAGGCAACAGTGACCCCATACTCGCCCTGGGGCTGTTCACTATTCATCAGGAGGTTTCCGTACCCTCCAGCACTCATCCCCTCCGCACTGGCGAAAGACAGAGAGGCAGAGGGGAATAATGACGGGGAGATTTCAAGATTGCAAGACACTGTAATCACAAAACATTCTTATCATTGTTATATAGCTTGGGCGTAAAACAGGAAAGCTCCGCAAGGAATTAATCACGTTTGGCAATTTTATACCCAGGATAAACATTCAGAGCATGTTTTATTGATATACAACGCTAAGAGGTTTAAAGTGAAAAATCAAATAAACATCAGGAAAACATGATTGTCTTATAAGCAAGAGAGAGCAAGGAGAGAATGCTCAGGTAGTAAGATGGATCTCTGCGTTAATAACTGGTCTATAGGAGAGCTGGAATATCCACGAAACAAGGAAAAGTACAGAATGATTTCGGCTTAAGAAAGGGAAGCCAAGCCTCTTGATCCGGATAGCCCTGGATTCTCCAGGCTGTAAAGTTAATTCCCATGAACTAAGGTGGCTGCTGCTGAATGAGAAATCTCTCTCTCTGGCTTTACAGACTGCAAGGCCTCAGTGCTGCCTCAGAGAAGAGGAGCCTCTGTGCCCCAAGGCCCAGTGTCTCCGATGCCTCGTCCTTATCCATCCCTCCTATTTCCAGAGGGCTGAAGAGCCAAGGAGCAAATAGGCACAGAGAAGCTTCCTTAAAACTAATGAAGCTAGCCTGGACCTGGTATGTCCGTGGTGCTCACAGGGAACACACTCTGCCCACCCTAAGACCTGGCTCACCTAATCATCTGACTCATGTTGGAGACCTGGTGGGCCATGAATGGTAAAAAGCCTGTGTGACGAAGATCAGTCCAGACCTGAGAAGGAAAAAGAAGAGTCCATGTCCCTGTGTTCTCAAGTACCAAGTGCAATATTTTGGGATTGCTCTGAAGACTCAGTATCATACCTTTGCGGGGTTCCGGGCAGCCAAAACGGTCAAACAATTGACACAAGAAGCAATGACATCCACAGGGGGGGAGATCACTGTTGTTAACCTGGTTGGAGAACACTATACTCAGTAAAATGAGTCATACATCCTGCTCCATCACAAATATTCTCCAGTTCTCTCTTCCCAAGTCCCTCCTCTCAGAAAGGATGTTGAAAGAAAACAGCACTCAGCTGGGAACAGTTATCACACCAGAGCTTCCCACAGACAAACGTGTGTGGACTTGAACCCCACGGGGGTGAGCAAACACTCACCGCTGCAGCAGCATGTAGATGCGGGAGGTGATGGGCAGGAGACAGTCTGCTATCGAAAGATCTGTACTGATGACCTTATGGACCAGATCAATGATGGGTTTGACCCGCTGACAGTGCTGAATCACATCTGAGGGAAAAGGAAGCCTGTGACCTTACGGGAAACAATTCCTTTAAGATCACTGAATAATCTCTGAGACCCAGGGAACAAATAACACTAATCATAACCTGGATGATTCTGAATTTGGTTTTGAAATTCTCTGCCTATCCTCCAAATCCTCTAGGCATGTCCATTTTTCTGCCCTATAACAGTGTCTCCCAAAGCTGCCCTCACCTGCAGTGGAAACAACATGAAGCAGCATTTCAATCTCACAGGTAAAGAGGGTCCAGCTGCTATACGAGTACTCCCAGCGTACCAGGTAAGCCCTATCGTCCAGCATTACTTGGCCCACGGTGCCTTGAGGTATGCGAAGGTTGGTCTGACCCCCTAAGGAAGGAAGAGAAATTAGTCTAATACCTGAGGACACAACAGGAAGAGGTACCTCCTATATCAGACACCAATCTTTAATCACATAGGCTCTCTTCCTAGTATCTAACATTGCTACACATTTTTCCATTAAAAAGAAAAAAGCCTCTTTTCATTTGGGGAAGTGAGTCTTTCCAGGCGCCTAAAAACAGCGGAGTGCACAGAGTGGTATTACATTCACATGACTGTGGGAGACCACCTCATGGCACCGTAGGTCACTGGCTAAGTTGGTGGTGGTGCCAGGGTTAGAAGAGCAAGGCTATTCCTTCTATATTTTGCTCCTTTGAGCACCTGGAAGACACATAAGCTTACAAGTTTTAACTGGTCACTCTTACGTACTGGACTGCCAGCAGGAAAATAAATCGGTACCTTTTCTTACAATTTGGCACTGTGTATTCAAAACTTTTAAATTATTTTTTAAACTGTGGTAAAATATATATATAACATAAAATTTACCGTTTTAACCATTTGAAGTGAATAGTCCAGTGGCATTAAGTACATTCACACTGTTGTGCAACCATCACCACCATTCATCTCCAGAACTTTTTTCATCTTGCAAAACTGAAACTGTCCCCATTAACTGATAATTCCCTATCCCCCCATCCCTCAACCCATCACCCACCATTCTATTTTCTGTCTGAATGAATTTCACTATTAGAAGTATCTCATATGAGTTGAATCATATATTTGCCCTTTTGTGACTGTCTCATTCAGTTTGCATGTCTTCTAGGCTCACCCATGTTACAGCATATGTCAGAATTCCCTTCCTTTTTAAGGCTGAATAATATTCCAGTGTGTGTGTGTGTGTGTGTGTGTGTGTGTACATACACACATATACATATGAATACACACACACAGATACACATTTTGTTTATCCATTTCATATGTTGGTGGACTTAAATTTTTATTGTGTATACCCTATTATCCAACAATCCCAAGGTAGTCTATGTACTAAAAATAAAAGCACCAGTTTATTAAGATTTATGTACCAAATGCAGCATTGTTTTTGGTGGCAAAAACCTGACACAATCTAAATGTCCTTTAGGAGAAAAATAAAAAGTTATGGAACATAAAGAATAATTATGTAAATAGACATAAGACACTGGGGAGTAGGGGAGGCCAGGGGATTGTCAACGGCGGGGGGAAAAAAAGGACACATATGTAATACCCTTTGTAATACTGTAAGCAATAAAAAATAAGTAAATAAATAAATAAATAAAAGATTATGTAGTTACTAAAAAAAAGTCAGATCCATCTGTAATAAGATCAGCTTGCAGAATGAATTTGTAAGTATACAGAAACATGTAAGAGGACATGGTAAACGCTTTTTTTTAAAATATATTTTTTTTATTGATATTTTACAGAGAGGAAGGGAGAGAGATAGAGTTAGAAGCATCGATGAGAGAGAAACATCGATCAGCTGCCTCCTGCACACCTCCTATTGGGTATGTGCCCGCAACCAAGGTACATGCCCTTGACTGGAATCGAACCTTGGACCTTTCAGTCCACAGGCCGACGCTCTATCCACTGAGCCAAACCAGTCATGCCATGGTAAACTCTTAACATTGATTCTCTAATGGAGGAAGTTCTGGAGAGAAACTTTTAAAAATGTATCTCTGCATTTTTTACCTTGTTACAATGAACATGCATTATGATTTTTTTATGCATGATTTTTTTATGCATGATTTTTTTATGCATGATTTTTTAATGCATGTTGCAGTCGAGGTGCATTTCTCTCTCTCTCCCCTCCTCTCCTTTCTCTCTCTAAAAATTAGTAAATTTAAAAAAAAAAAAAAAAAGGAAAGAGAAAGAGGTTACTAAACCAAGGTCTCTTCATCTTACCAAGTGGGTAAAGGAGTTTGGGTGTTTGCCTCCGCCAGAGAGTTCCATCTTCATGGGAGACCACATCATGGGGCTTATGCTTATAAAGCTCATTGTAGAAAGACATTTTATCCAAGAAACTATATACCTGCCAACACGCAGGAAAAAAAACAAACAAACAGCCACACATTTAGCTGGGGCACATGTGAGGGGTTCCACATCTGCCCTTCTGCTCTTCTAGCCAGACTGTATATGTGTAGACTCTCAAACTTCTTACAAGCCCACTATAACTCTCCTGGAACTGCCTCTGCACTCCTTGCCAAATCTTCACCATTCTTTCATCTTCAACTCAAGGTCCTCTCCCCTCCCCCCTCCACAGATAGTTGCCTCACCTGAGCAGTATGGTCTGTACTACTCAAATGACATTTACTAGACATCACCTGGCTTTATTAGCTATTTATTTCTTATTCTACTCTTCTCTTCCAATTGATATTAAGGAACTTTATATTCTGTCTTATTCCTACAGTACCTACTGTAAGGTACTTAATGAAAACATTTTTATTTAATTTTATAGAACTGAGGCACTATCTTAGGTATTTTCATTCAACTTCAGACTAATTCTTGCCATGGCAATGGGATTTCGATGCGGAAAGCAGCAAAGATTCCTAAAAACCATCTCCCACTCTCTTTAGGCATCTAACTGAACAGCCTACCTTTTTGGCAGTAGACTTCCCTGATACGAGGGCCCGTAGCAATTGTAGGAGTGGGGAGAGGAGATGGGGAAACATTCCACATACACTGTCCAGAATGATCCCAAGACCAGAGGTTGGCTCCTATGGTGAAAGGGGAGAAATCACTGACCTTAACATTACCTACAAATTACCCTCTCTCTCTAGTAATTTAAAACTTCCATATTTCCACTAAAAAAGGCTACCGACAATTGACTCGGTTAGGACCTGAAAAGAGACTACTGCCTCCAGTGACCTCTTCCGGCCATCTTCTCTAGAGAAAGACAACATCGTTCACCTTTGCATGACATGTTTCCACTAAAGTGAAAAACACCCAACTATTTGTCAGCATTTAGCCACCATATACATGCAACAGCGCCTCAATGTAAGTATTATTTCTCCCAGAAACACTGTGATTCTGTAAGACTTAAATGGCATATGAGGAAAAAAAGAACAAAATATACAAGGAGACTGGTCAGGCCAAAAAATAAGTACGAATTTATTCATCAGCTGGACCTTGAGGCTTGAGGCTGTTGCCAATGCTAAGACTAAGTACTGGTACCCAGCCTGTGTGGCTCCGTGATTGAGTGTTGACCTATGAACCAGGAGGTCACAGTTTGAGTTCTGGTCAGGGCACATGCCCAGGTTCCAGGATCAATCCCCAGTAAGGGATGTGCAGGCAATCAATGATTTGCTCACATCGATGTTTCTCTCTCTCTCTCTCTCTCTCTCTCTCTCTCTCTCTCAGGCAATCGATGTTTTGCTCACATTGATGTTTCTCTCTCTCCCTCTCTCTCTAAAAATCAATAAAATATCTTTAAAAAAGATTACAGCAATGAGAGCATTTGAGATCTTGTTCCTTGGTGTGTCTTCAGTTTGACTCAAATAAACTCATAATAATTCTCCAAAAAAAGTTACAGCAATACTGGTGCTTGCGACTCCCAATGTGAAAAAAGACTCAGTAGGTAGGACAGACAGCACACTGGTTAACAGTGTAGACTACAGACTTGTCAGACAGAACTCGATCCCGACCCTGGATGTCTAGCTGGTTGGCCTTGGACAAGTCACCTCCCATCCCTGGGCATCACCTTTCCTCATATGCCAAATGGAGATAATACTATCGACTTCATAGGTTTTTTTAAAGATTAAATAAGAAAATGGACATAAATGCTTAGTATAACACTTTTCACAAAGTGCTTAATCAATTCTTTTGTTACAGAGAGTATCATAGCATGACTCCCAGTGGCATACTTACTGTTCCCCAGAATAATTCTGGAAGAGAAGGGTCTGCCAAGACTTCACATGCTGTGTCAATTATATCCTGTTGGGATAAGGGAGAGAAAATGGCTTATTTTCCCTAGGTGAACCAGTCTATCTTTTTTTTTTTTTTACTAAATTCTGTTGAAATAAAAATACCAATGAGCCTGACTGGCATGGCTCAGTGGTTGAACATCAACTATGAACCAGGAGTTTACGGTTCGATTCCTGGTCAGGGCACATGCCCGGGTTGTGGGCTTGATCCCCAGTGGGGGACGTGCAGGAGGCAGCCGATCAATGATTCTCTCTCATCATTGATGTTTCTGTCTCTCTCCCTCTCTGAAATCAATAAAAACATATTTTAGTCCTAGCCAGTTCTGCTCAGTGGATAGATCGTCACCTGTGAACCAAAGGGTCCCAGGTTCAATTCCGGTCAAGGTCACATACCTAGATTGCAGGCTCCTCCCTGGCCTACGCCCTGGTCAGGGCCCCTGCAGGAGGCAACCAATCCATGTGTTTCTCTCAACCCTGACTAGTTTGGATCAGTGGATAGAGAGTCGGCCTGCGGACTGAAGGGACCCGGGTTTGATTCCAGTCAGGGGCATGTACCTTGGCTGCGGGCACATCCCCAGTAGGGGGTGTGCAGGAGGCAGCTGATCAATGTTCTCTCTCCTTGATGTTTCTAACTCTCTATCCCTCTCCCTTCCTCTCTGTAAAAAATCAATAAAATATATATATATTTTTTAAATCAATGTGTTTCTCTCACATTAATATTTCTGTCTTTCCCTCTCTCTTCCATTCTAAAATCAATGGAAAAATATCCTCAGGTCAGGACTTAAATATATATATATATAAAACACACACCAATAATACCTCATTTAGTATGTCAAAAAGAACTCTGGGTTTAAAAAGTAAGATTACAGCCCATCTAGGGTATATATAATATCTGTTGTATGCTTTTAGGCAAATTCTCTGAACTTCAAATTCTTTATCTGTAAAATGGTGACAATATTCTCTGCTTCACAGTATTGTCGTAAGGATTAAATGAGAATGTACAGGGAAGTGAACTGTATATTTTCAAATGCCATGTAAATGTGAGCTATAACTAGGATCAGCTAAACTGTTCTAGAGAACAAGAATAATGCCTTTGAATTTTGTTTGTTTATCCTCACCCAAGGATATTTTTCCCACTGATTTTTAGCAGAGTGGAAGGGATGGAGAGAGAGAGAGAAAGAAGAGAACCATCGATGTCAGAGACACATCAATTTGTTGCCTCCTGCATGCACCACAACCAGGGCGAATATGGAGCCTGCAACAAACGTATGTGCCCTTGACTGGATCAAACCCAGGACCCTTCAGTCTGAGGGTCGATGCTCTAACCCTGAGCCAAACTGGCTAGGGACAGATGGATTGACTGATTGATTGATTGATTGATTGATTGATTATTTATTTATCTATCTATCTATCCTCAGCACCTAGCACAGGGTTTGGCACACACTGGGAATCTAATCAAATCCTACAAAAAAATTTTTTTGCACTGACTGGGTAACTCAGTTTGTTAGAATGTCATCCTGATATGCTAAGGTTGCAGGTTCAATCTCCAGCCAGAGCATATATAAGAATTGACCCATGAATACATAAGCGGAATAAAAATCAATGTCTCTCCCTCCCTCCCCCTTCCTTTTTTTTTTTTAAAATATATTTTATTGATTTTTTACAGAGAGGAAAGGAGAGGGATAGAGAGTTAGAAACATTGATGAGAGAGAAACATCGACCAGCTGCCTCCTGCACACCCCCTATTGGGGATGTGCACCCAACCTAGGTACATGCCCTTGACCGGAATCGAACCTGGGACCCTTCAGTCCGCAGGCCTACGCTCTATCCACTGAGCCAAACCGGTTAGGGCCCCCTTCCTTCTCTTAAAAAAAATCAATAAAATATATTTTTTAAAAATCCAAATACTAGGTATCTTGCAATCCTAGTATGTTAATACCAATCCTCCAGGGGTATAAAAGAATCCAAATGTGACCAGAATTTTGGAAAAGATGCAAACCTTGTTCTAAGCCTCACAGCAGTTCTCAACCTGTGGGTCGCGAACAATGAAAATACATCCTGCATATCAGATATTTACATTACGATTCATAACAGTAGCAAAATTACAGTTATGAAGTAGCAACGAAAATAATTTTATGGTTGGGGGTCACCACAACATGAAGAACTGTATTAAAGGGTCGCGGCATTAGGAAGGTTGAGAACCACTGCCTAGAGCTTTGGAAATTGATTCTTTCAATTAACATCAAATGTTTCTCTCTCCAATGATAAAACACTTTCATCAAATTAATTTCTTTAATTTCCATAACAAGTCCCTAGTTATTAAAAATGAATACAATGACTTCGCCATAAAAACCTACTTCAAGACTCGTTGGAGTAATGGCAGATTCCAGGTGTGGGGCAGGAATCATGTAAGACAATCCTGCAACAGTTGTCAGGCCAGAAAGCAACAGAGCTATTAAAATATGTGAAACAGATCCAGAAGCTAATCTAAAAAAGTTTTTACTGACCAAAGATGGGCCAATCTGAGCATAAGAATAACTCCAATGGATTAATTAAAACAAAGCTAATGTGTTTATCATGAGTTCACACTGATATGTAAAAATTTAAAACCCTCACTGACCACCTTTGGAGAATGCTAGGGAAAAAGGAAATACAGTAAAAGCAGAGTATCAAATAGTTAGAGAGAGCAAAAAAAAATCTTAAGCCGAGGTATAACTGACATACATTACATTAGTTTCAGGTGTACATAATAATTCACTATTTGCATACATTGTGAAACCAATTTCTTTTTTATAACAATGTTCAAAAAAAACCCAAAAAAACAAAAAAAAACACCAATGTTCCAACCACTAAACACACGAGGAAAGACAGAATTGGGGCAGTGCCGTTTTGTAAACCCTAGAGAACTAATGGAACTAGACAATGATGTGGCTCTGGCTACCATAGCAGACCACACAATTCCAGACTAAAAGAAATTTGACAGTTTTATCAACTAATAATGTGTAGACCTTGCTTATTTAGATTCTTTTCCAAACAAACTTATGACAAATTTATGAGATAAGATAATTAGAAATTTGATTCCTGATTTGATATATATAGATATTGTTTTTAGATATAATAATGATTGTGAAGGTTTACTAAAATATTCATGAAATGAAATGATGTCTGAATTTGCTTCAAAATAATCAAGAAGGGCAGGGGCGAAAATGAATATACCAGCTGTGAAGCTGGTGATGGGATCAGGACGGTTCATTATACAATTTTTTCTACTTTAGTATAAGTTTGAAATGTTTCTTTTTTTTTAAAAATACTGCAAAAGAATATTTATTAGCACCCACAGATGTTTAGGACAGATGCACTAGAGTAAAAAAAAATGAGATTACCAAACAGTTTATACATTGTGATTCCATTTCTAGAGAAGAATTATTCTGTTTTTACATATGTAAGCAGAAAATATTTTGAAGGAAACCCAATAAAAAGTTAATAGGTTATCCTGTGTGGTAGGATTACACTTGTTTCTTTTTATCGGCACCTTCTGATTTCTGTATCATTAATATGTATCATGTATATAACACAATGAGTGAAAACAAATAGCAATACACCTGAGATACATGGGTGTGTGTTTTATCAGCTCCAAAGTGACATCTTGGGGATATGATTGCAAAGCTGGGCAGTGCAGACAGCCTCACAAAAGCCAGACACTGACCTGCTGATTGCCCAGTGTGTGTAGCTCCAGCGAGGTCAGCACGAAAGAAAGGAGTCCATAGACACACATGCATGCGGTGCTGGTGGTGCACTGTAATGGCAAAGGAGTCAGTGAATAATCTGAATAACTCAACTCTTTCCCAGATTCAGCATAATCCTATCACATGAATATAGTCCCTGTGAAAAAATGGGAAGGGAAACTGAGGCTTCATAATTTCCCTAATTTAGTCCCAAGATCAGGAAGACAAAGGAAGAGAAAGCAGGAACCAAAAATATTACAAGACCCCAGCCGGTGTGGCTTAGTGGTTGAACATTGATTGACCCATAAACCAAGAGGTTGCTAGTTCCATTCCCGGTCAGGGCACATGCCTGGATTTCGGGCTCAATCCCCAGTAGGGGGTGTGCAGGAGGCAGCCAACTGATGATTCTCTCATCGATGTGTCTCTCTCTCTATCCCTCTCCCTTCCTCTTTCTAAAATCGATAAAAAACATTTCTAAAAAATATTATAAGAAAAAGATCAAAAGAGAATCATTTTCAAAATGATCAAAGTTTCCATGGGGAAGAAAATCACATCTGGTCTACAAAAAGGATAGCTTGTATGTGCTAATATGAACTCTGCAGCTGCCTGAACTGTCACCAAGATAAATCAAACAGTGCCAACAAGTGGGGCCCGTTGGCTGAGGTTTCATTTCAGCATGTCAAAACAAGTTGACTAAACAGTGCCATACAAATTAAGCCTCAACACAAGACTCAAGAGAATTTCTAGTTCATCCTGTTATAACTGAATGAGTAAGCACCCCAAAAAGATTTCTCCTGTCAATATGGCCAAAGCTATCGTCTAGGAGATAAACTATACTGGCAAAAAGTCAGACATAGTGGGTTCAAACTATATCCGCCACTAAGTGGCAATTATTCCTGTGGGCAAATTTTCTCTCCCTGAATATCAATTTCCTAACGCAAAAAAAACCAGAATGCTAATCCATAGTGCAAAAAAGTGATACAAAGATGAAATAAGATAATCTACCAGAAAGTGATGAGCAGTGTCAATAAAGGTCAGTTATAATAATATCATCATTATCTACATCATTACTACAATTATTATTACTATTATCATGATTCATTAATAAGCTTCCGCCCTGCTCTTTGCCCATTCTCAAGTTCAAATACCAATAGCCTGAGTCTCACATCATTTCCCCCACTAGACAGTGAGCGAAGTAGTCGGGTCAAGTACTGAAATACGTTCAGTTGGATGGCTGTGCCACCTATCTTCCGGACAACACTGCTTGTCTCTTCTGGATTCAGGGTGTGGCGAAGGAGAGCCCAGGCCAAAAGCACTGGGGCATGATGTGGAATGTCCCCAAAGGTCAACATCAAACGGTCCATATCCTAATGAAAAAGGAAAACATCTGTGTCAATAAACAGAAAAAATCAGGACCCTCCCACAAGATCTTTCACTACGCATAATTAAAGTCCTCTGTTCATCCACAGAGGGCCCTCTCCCATTCTGGTATTTTACTCTTCCCAAACCCCCAGCCACCTCACCAACAGACCCCTCAAGTACTCTCCCCTTTACCCATACTTTTTTTTCCTTCTGATTTTTAGCAGCCTTAACCTAAGATTATAAAATACATGCTCAAATAGAGACTCTCCAAATTTCCCGATCCTTCTTGAACTTTCTCTGCTTTCTCCTCATTTTCTATCTTTCTAACCATCCCATCTCAAAAGTTCTTCCCCTTTCCTCTTCTTGCACAGGCTCCATATATACCAGTGATGGCGAACCTATGACACGCGTGTCAGAGGTGACACGCAAACTCATTTTTTTGGTTGATTTTTCTTTGTTAAATGGCATTTAAATATATAAAATAAATATCAAAAATGTAAATCTTTGTTTTACTATGGTTGCAAATATCAAAAAATTTCTATATGTGACACGGCACCAGAGTTAAGTTAGGGTTTTTCAAAATGCTGACACGCCGAGCTCAAAAGGTTCGCCATCACTAATATATACAGACCACCTCCCAAAGGTTCTATCCTTGGGTGTCTTTTGTCCTTATATCCTCTCCCTGAGTGACTCTACTCACCCTCACAGATTCCACTATCACCTCTGTGCAGATAATTGACAAATCCAATCAACTTAACAATGCAGAACCTCAAATTCCACAGTAAGAAAAATTTTATGTAAGAGTATAGTTGAGTGGTCAAAAACATACTACTATGAAAGGTCTGAACAAAGGCCAGAGGCTGCTCAAAATTACCTGGCAAATAAGCCCATCCTGGGCAAACTGGTGCAGCTCTCTTCTGTCATCCAAAGCACACTTGAGCAATGACTCAATATCCATGCCTTCCACCAGGATAAGGGCACTGAAGTAGCTAGAAAGGAAAACAGTATCACGGTGTCAGGAATGCTACTCTAACCTCATTGGAAAATAGGTGAAATCTTAAGACACTTCAATATCAAAGGAATTATGATTGAGTTATGTGACATTCTTTCTCACACTAAGTCTTATAAATCCAGTATGTATTTTATTCTTCCAACATATCCCAATTTGACCAGCCACATTTTAAATGCTCAACAGTCATACATGGCTTATGCCTACCAAAGCATAGATCAAGTCCTGGAGGTTTCTGCAGCCACCAATTACATCTGACCTTGATAAACTCTCTGACTACTCAAGTGTGTATCTTTGTCCACAGAGGGAACAGACCTCTAAATGTAAATATATCCATTGCCATAAAATTCAAAGTCCATAAACGGATCTCAAAGAGGCAGGAAACAAATCTGCCTTATTTTTCATGGTCTCAGCGTTTGCACAATGTCTGGCCTGCAATAGATGCTCAACAAATATTTTGTTGAATGGATGAACCTCTTCGATGATGACAGTAAGTAAATAATAGAATGCCATACTTCCTTTGAGAGACCATGTCCTCTCAATCCCAGTCTTTACTCCCTATCTGACCTGGAACATGGTAGCACCCATCTATTTCCCCACCCATTAAGTGAAAAGTACTCCTCTCCTCGCCCATTCACAGAATCACTATAATATCAATGTAACACTGTACAAGTTCTATGACCTCCATTAATTCAGACTTACCCAATCCGATCCACAAAAGGATCCATGGTCTCATCCACCAGGTGCCTGTTGGTCTGCCTACTACCAAATCCTTGCTCTTTAAACAGCTTGGTTAATACCAATAGGTCACTAGGTGCCATCTCAAAGTATGCATAATAAAGGAAGATAATTTCTAGCAGCATGGACTGTTCCCGAAGGCACTGGACAAACCAGCGAGACACCTGACGCTCAGTCTACACAACCAATGAAGAAAAAAATGGGAGAGAAATAAAGTCAGATTTACAAACATATTTAAATTTGCAAAGTTATTTTTACTAGGTAATACATGTATAGTCCCCCTTACCCGTGGGGGATACATTCCAAGACCCTCAGTGGATGCCTGAAACCATGGATGGTATTGAACCCTATATATACTATGTTTTTTCCTTGAGAAATTTATGCTTTTGTTGTTATTGTAAATGGGCCCTTTTCTTCTATTAAATATTTAAAATATCTATTGTGTTTTGGTTGAATTGTTTTAATAAACACATATCATTGTCAAAACAAAAGATTATAACAATAACATTAGTAATCTATAAATGCAGACTGGCTTTAGATCTAGGATAAAATAATCAGACTAGTGTCACACACTAAATAATGATAATAACGAAGACAAATCTTAAGTTTAGAGTTCCATTAATCATTAAGAGAATATTTTAGGTAAGAGAGAAAGTAAATGTTTTATCCATATGACATATTTAAATTTTTCTGAAGACTGATAACTTAGGTTTTAAGTTAACAAATGAATAAATAATTGAACTCGGAGTCTATGAGAAAGAGTATACAATTCTCCTAAGAGTTATAAGAGGGTCCAGTAAACATATACCATGAGGCTTCCATGTGTCTCCCACGTTGGTGCTTCAGTTCTGTAAAGCTCTTCAAACTGCTGTCTGTATTTTGTAACCAGCTCCTTCTCCAATTTATCAACACAGTCTGCATATTCAACCTTTTAAAAAAAATCCAAAACACGGTAACTTATACCTAAAGTAAAAGTTAAATATTCAAATAAATATGAGTGTGAATAATATAAAATTATTTAAAAGAGTTGAATTTTACAAGGTAAAGAGAACCAAGAAGACAAAATGGGCTTACCCTATAGGGATGTCTTTCATCTTGGAAATAAGTGAGAAGGTGTAAGACACAACGAAGAATACACATTCTTTCTTCATAATAATAATCTGCAATCTGGGAAAAATATTCACAATCAGTTACTCACAATTGCATGGGATACTCAATTGTAAATTTACTGATAAAGAGATCACTTAAAGATGTGCATTGAAAAGTTCAATTTATAATCAATCACAGCCCTGGCCAGTGTGGCTCAGTTAGTTGAATGTCATTCCATGCACCAAGAGGTCGCCAGTTCGATTCCTGGTCAGGGTACATGGCCAGGTTGCAGACTCGATCCCCAAGTAGGGGGCATACAGGAGGCAGCCAATCAATCTTTCTTTCTCATTGATTTTTCTCCCTCTCTCTCTCCCTCTCCCTTACTCTCTCTAAAATCAATAAAAACATATTTTTAAAAAATAAAATAAAACCAATCACAGAAATGGAAACAGTATTAGGCCAAAAAGAAAGCAAAAGACCTTCATGAATGGGATACAGGTAAAGTCATGCAAGATAAAAGCAATTACTTAATAATATAAACAAATTTTTCTAGCAGTTAGAGTATTCAAGTAATACACAATACTATAAACTGACAGCCAAATATATGAAAGCAAATATAAAAACCACTGATGTATGTCCCAATTCCTTATAACTAATGTACTTAGTTCTCACTAAATACCAAATAGGAAACTACTTCAGAAATCATGATAAAATTCCATTTTAAAATCACATCCTGGGTGAGAAGGTTGCTTTGGGAGGAAGGGGGAGTTAAAGAAATACAAATTAATCCTGTTGCATTTAGATCTAGAGAAAAAATATCCATTAACCAGTTCTCACCCCCAATGACTGAAGAATCTCCTTTGGAAAAAGAGCTCGGCTGGTTCCAGTGGATTAAAAACCTCTTGTTTCACAAAACAAGTAATAACCTTCCTCATTAGGACCTCAATGTTTACCCAACAAGAGTTAAAAGTCAGCAATGCTCAGGAAAACAAGATCAAGGAACTGGTACCCAATTTTACATAGAAGAACGGAAATGGTGACTACTACTGACCTTCAGGATTAAGGCCTGGCTCTGCCTCTCATCTTGCAGTACCACCTGGAGGAAAAAAGAAAAGCCAGGAAGCCACCTTATTAGCAATACTAAATTCACACAAAAAAAAAGTAAACATGTTCACCTCACCCTTCAATATTATAATTGCCCATTCATTTCTGCATTTTACCCAACTATATATTCAAGTCTGTGCTCAAATCCCTGCCCCCCTCCTCTGGCTTTAGTTTCCTCATATATATAACTAGAGGCCCGGTGCACAAATTCGTGCACAGGCGGAGTCTAGCCCACCCCCATCGGGGCTGTTCAGTCAGGCCAGCTGAGGGGAGAGGCCATGGAAGGTTGGCTGGCCGGCCCCGCCCCCTGGTCAAACTCTGGGTGGAGGGGACAATTTGCATATTAGCTTTTTATTATATAGGATGAGAAACCGGACAGGCTAAATGTTCTAGGTCCATTTCAGCTCTGATATCCTGAGACTCTGATGAACATGTCAGTATTTGACCTCTCCCCACCTTCAAGTTTGAGCACTGACCTCAGCTTAAGCATCTGTTTTTTTAGGCCTTAAAAACAGTCTTTCCTGAAAGTGGCTTTATTTGATTACCTACCTCTGTTGCAAGGAACTGGTACCAAAACCTTAAATTATCTAAAACTAACAAGGAAAAGGATAAAGGCAAGAGAATGGAGCTGAACATAACCACAAACCTTTAGTAAGTCCCGAGTACCTCTGTAATCCTCTTGAAGGTAACACTGGAGTAACTGTACACTCTGTTCTTCGTCAAGACCCTGAAACACAGAGGTCATAAGTGGGGAACAGTCACCTCAGCTCAGAAATCATGTATCGGATGCAAAGCATTCTAAAGATTTGTCCTCTGGAATGAACACAGAACTTGAATAAACAAAAATCCTTTTAAAGATTTCATACAACATAACAATTTTAACTGAAATAGGAGAAAAAAGGAGCAAGTCACAGGCACGTAATTTATGTGACAAATGTACATGCCAGAAACAACTGCGCTCATTCATCAAGCACATTAATACAGCAGCAGACATTCTCAGGGTTTCTAAAATTAAAAGGAAACAGCTACATATTTAAATACAGTCTAGTCCAGTGGTCGGCAAACTCATTAGTCAACAGAGCCAAATATCAACAGTACAACAATTGAAATTTCTTTTGAGAGCCAAATTTTTTAAACTTAAACTATATAGGTAGGTACATTGTTATTAACTTAATTAGGGTACTCCTACGGCTTAGGAAGAGCCACACTCGAGGGGCCAAAGAGCCGAATGTGGCTCACAAGCCGCAGTTTGCCAACCACGGGTCTAGTCAATTTAAAGAACATCACGTGTATGCTGAAGAAAACACTATGATATATAGTATATGGGCCAGGCAACTGGATTTGTGGCTCAATGTCAGAAGAGTTGCAATCTAAATATTTTTAAAACACAGTATTCAATTTAATCTCCAAAACTGAAGTAAACTGAATTTCCACTAATAATCACTAACAATAAAACCATGCACATCCATACTCCAGGTAATAAATTGAGCCAATGCTAACTTTTACTCACCAAAAACTTGCTGATTCGTAAACCCAGTTCCTTCAGTGGTGAAGGTACATCTTTTTTAGCTTTCACTTTTTCAGCTGAATTTGGACTATGAAAAGAACAATAAATCATTTCCTCATTCTCAGTAATCCTCTGGGAGTTAAAATAAAAATACTTCAAGATATTTTTACTACAGACCTATTTTTGCCCTTTAGGTGACTACAAAATACACACACACACACACACACAAGTTCATAGCTACAGACTTTATAACACAGAACTATTTATGCCTAGGTAATAAATACAGTTTAGGTCTGTTACAAATGATAGCTATAACAATATTATTTACAAATGAGAGTTACATTAATTATTTTTTATCCTTACAACTACTCTGAAAGGTAAATATTACTATCCCCATTTTACAAATGGAATTACCAACACTCAGAAAACAACTTACCAAAAATCCCACAGCTAATAAAAAGTTGAGGTGAAATTTAAGACCCGGTGTTAGTATATATACATATATTACCTAGCTCTGTCCACTGAGAAGGCCTAGAAGCTATGACACCCCACCCCATGCCCATTGCAGCAGCAGGCACACCCAGCATCCAGATCTTGGTTTCCAATACCATTCTCTAATAAAAGGTGCCAGGAATCCTTGGTGAAATGGTTGATCTAGAGCTGGGGTGGAGAAAATACTAGGTGAACCTGGAGCATCTTGTAATGCCAGAAAGCAAAGAAAATACTCAGGAAACAAAAGGGAGGGCACAGCCCTGACCAGTTTGGCTCAGTGGACAGAGCGTCGGCCTGCGGACTGAAGGGTCCCAGGTTCGATTTCGGTCAAGGGCATGTACCTTGGTTGCGGGCACATCCCCAGTAGGGGGTGTGCAGGAGGCAGCTGATCGGTGTTTCTCTCTCATCGATGATTCTAACTCTCTATCCCTCTCCCCTCCTCTCTGTAAAAAATCAATAAAATATATTTTTTTAAAAAAAGGAGGGCACATGTCAAAAGGTCACAGAGGCCAACCTAAAAAAACTTCCACTGGCCAAAGCTGGAACAGGTATAAACAAGTATAAACTAAATATACACGAGTTCCTAGTGATATAAATGAATAAACAGACAAACAGACAAATAAGTAAATAGGGGGAAAAGTCCAAATAATATACATAGGTACTACTCCCTTTAGAAGGTGAAGTTTAATTCCACTACACCCCTACCTTGAGAGTGGCTATATTTAGTGACTCGCTTCCAAAAAATAGAGGACGGAGAGAGAAAAAAGTGACTTTACAGAGGAGAAACTTGGCAAATGCTACCTTAGCCAAGGGAGCAAAGTTAACATCACCAGTGATTTCATATGGATAACTCTTTCAATACGTATCCTCTATTATGATGTGGTAAGAATGGTACTTTACCCTTCTGAATTCTTCTCCAAAACCCACAACCCAATCTAATAATAGGAAAAACATCAAACAAATCCAAATTGAGGGCATTTTATAAAATATTTGATCAGTCCTCCTCAAAACTATTCAGATCATGAAAATCAAAAAAAGACTGAGATACGTCAAACTAAGAGCTTAGAAGACATGACAGCTGAATGAAATGTGGTACCCTGCATTGATCCTACAACAGAAAGAAGACATTAAAGAAAAAATTTGGGGGTGTTAAATTCAAATAAAGCCAACAGTTAAAAAAAAAAAATTCTGTTAAACTTCAACTCCCATGCTACCAGAAAGGGAACTTTTGTCTTTAAAAAAAAAGAAACTAATGCCCTAAATGTCTAGTCTGTGAACTAAAGCATGTTGTTGTTGGATTTTTATAGAGACTCTCACATTTCACAGAAAATCCACAACACAAAGGCTAGTATAAAGTTAAACAATAAGCTCTGAAAGAGGCAACATAGAATGATGGTTAAGAACACAGACACTGGAGTAAGACTGCCAGGTTTGAACCCTGGTTCTACCACTTACTAGCTGTGTGACCTTGGGCAAGTTACTTAACCTCTTTGTGCCTCAGTTTCCCCATCTGTAAAATGGAAACAATAATAAAAGTACCTAAATGTGATAATATAGTGATTATCTTTTTTTAAGTTCATATATTTTAGATACATAGTAAAGTATTTACAGATAAAATAACTGTAATGATGTCTGTGAGAGTTACTTCAAAATAATTATGAGGGAAGGGTTAACAGATGAACAACAAAAAAAAAGTTCTTCACTAACCTAAGAGAATGAAGGTGGAAAGTGAAGATGGAATAAAATCAACAGATGTTCAGAAGCAGAAGGGAAGTGGCTTGGGAACTACAATGCATAACACAGTGAGATCTGGACTAGGAATTAAGGTGAAAGAGTCTAGTACTTCCTACAGATATAGTCTTTTCTTCTGTTTTAACTACTTTATTTTATTTTTCCACTTCCAAGTAAAAAAAAACAAAAAAAACTTACATTCACCTCCAAAATAAAAATTGTTCGCTGCTATATTCCAGCATTTGGTGCTGATAGTGCCTCACACAATTCGGACCAAAATATATATTTGAATACTTAATTGAATATTTAATAAACCCTCATCCCCAGACACTACAGTTATATAACTGGATTCAACAATACTGCCTTTTTAGAAGGAATTTCCCTTCCTTTATAAAGACAGGTTTCCACTGGTTTCCTTTAAAGAGACAATTTGGTTTCTACTGGTAACCAAACTGTATTCTCTCTGATCTACCCAACCCAGCAATACCATTCATGAAAATGGTTTCATCTACACCAGCTTCTTCAGGGGAATTACTCTAAGCAGATGCTTATGATAGCCATACCTGGGAGGTTTATAGTATGAAAGTCCTTCTAATAGCCGCTGCCAATGTTTATTCAGTTCTGCCTCAATCTGATTCTGGAAAAGAACAAGGAAACAATACAAATGCAATTTTAATCAGACTTCAGGATCACAGTGATGATTACATATTCCTTTCAGTCTTTTTAATATGCGTTCTTGCCCAGCTGGTGTGGCTCAGTGGTTGAGCACCGACCTATGAACCAGGCGGTCACGGTTAGATTCCCATTCAGGGCACATGCCTGGGTTGCAGGTTCCATCCCCAGTAGGGAGTGTGCAGAAAGCAGCCGACTGATGATTCTCTTTCATCAACAGTGTTTCTGTCTCTCTCTCCCTCTCCCTTCCTCTCTCTGAAATCAATAAAAACACATTAAAAATTTATTTTGAAAATAAAAAAAAGTGTTCTTCCCCACAGTTGAAATCATTTTGAGTGGAGAATTTTATAGCCTTTTCTTTGCTTAACATTCTAACATAATGATTTCACCTTATTATGAAAATCTTGATAAACGTTCTTAAGTGATTGCATATTTTATTAAGTGGCTAGATCATAATTTATTTACCATTCTTCTAATGTTAGATACACTTAAGCTGACTGTAATTCCTTATTAATATAAATAATGCTCTGGTTAAGAGCTATGTGCACAAAACCTTTTCAGGATTTTTTTCTTTTAAAAGATAATTCTTGCCCTAGCCAGTGTGCTCAGTGGTTGGAGCATCAGACTATGCACCAAAGTGCCCTGGGTTCGATTCCCTGTCAAGGGCACGCACCTGGGTTGCAGGTTTGCTCCCTGCCTCTAGTCGGAGTGTGTGCAGGAGGCAACCAGTCGATATGTTTCTCTCACATGAGTGTTTCTCTCTGTGTCTTTCTCCCCTCTCCCTCCTTCCCTTCCACTCTCTCTGGAAAGCAATGGAAAAAATATCCTCAGGTGAGGATAACAAAAAAAAAAAAAAAAAATGATGCAGTCCTAGAAGTGGAATTATGAGATGAAGGCATATCAAAAAATGTTAAGGCTCTAAAAAAGGTGTTATCATTCCTTTTATTAATTACAATAACAACAACAATAGTAATAATTGAATGTCATCTTAACATTTTACCATCACAGGGTCAGAACACTAGAGGATCAATATGAAGAACTGTCCTTTATTGATTATATACTTGAAAATGTCCTAGAAACCACAGCCTCTCTGACCTAAGGAGCTATCTAAATGGAAAAGGGAGAAAAGGCAAGTAAAGTATGAGACAGAAAAAGCCTGAGAATCTTTTTAGCTTGAGGTAGCAGGACAGTATTTATACCCTGACCCTGAGCAGCCAATCAAGCAGCACTGTTATCTTTTCAGAAAAGGAACCACTAAGGCACAAAGAAAGGTGCAGATTTAGAAAACTTTCAGCAGCGAGACTGTAAGACACACTACGTTTCAGCAGAAAAAATATATATATAAAGTTTTAGAATTTCAAAAAGGTGTTTACTTCCTACTTCAAAGAGAAGGCACTTTTAAAAAAAAACAATACAATATAAACTGCACAAAGATCCATAGAATCCACTCAAGAACACCACCACTTACCAGTTCTCTCAGAGCTGACCTTCCAAGAAGAATTGTCCACAGTTCTCTGCTGCTCCTGAAAAAAGACAGAAAGCAGACTGAACTAAGCTATCTCACAGCTATTTTATCTATTCTCTAAAGCAAAAAGCTCAATGAACAAAACAACTTGTTAAAATTTTGGACAGTAATCCTGTTATATTCTTAGAAGTTTGATGTTCAAAATAAAAATTAAAAAACTAAAATATAGCCCTAGCTGGTTTGGCTCAGTGGATAGAGCGTCAGCCTGTGGACTGAAGGGTCCCAGGTTGGATTCCGGGCAAGAACACATGTCCTGGTTGCGGGCTCAATCCCCAGTAAGGGGCGTGCAAGAGGCAGCTGATCAATGATTTTCTATCATCATTGATGTTTCTATCTCTCCCTCTCTCTCCCTTCCTCTCTGAAATCAATACAAATACTTTTTTTTAAAAAAAGAAAATTAGTATTTGATCATAACAAGAATCAACATTTATTAAGCAGTTGTAATTGTCAGGCACTGAACACCTTGTCTTATTGAATATGGACAAGTTATGAGGCAGATACTGTTATTATCCCCATTATTTCATCCAAAACTAAGGTTTAAGAGTGGTTAAGTAAGTTGCCTAACATCACAAAGCCAATATATAATGGAGCCAGAGCTTGAACCCAGGTTTGCACAACTCCAGAGTTGACTCATTACATTACACTGCTTCAAGGTGCACCAAAGAACTCATCCTACAAGCAAAGACTGAGGTGAAGCTTTCTGTTCTACAGTGGCATACCATACCCATAATACAGTGGCTGGCACATAGGAGAGGCTCAAAAATACATGCTGACGAATGACTATCAAAGGAGGAGAAGTCCCTTTTAGACCTATAATCTAATTGGAAGAGGAAAATTAGAAAAAACAAGTATCTGCAGAAGTGCCAAGAGAAGGCAGAATAAAAGAGAAAATGGTAGTTTAACAGGAAGGGAATCCTTGTGGAAATGAATGTTACTGGCTCCTCAATTCCTACACATTTACTGGTCTAGGAATAATGGGAATAAATCTAGAACTTCATGATGCTCATACACTTCGTATTGGGACTGACAAAGGATGTTAAGCACACATTACACTATCAGCGAGTAATGAAGAGCTAAACCCTAACAAACACTCCAAAGGAATATAATCTAAGACAAAAAGAGTCAGAGGAGAGAAAGATCACTGGGAACTGAGCCAACGGCTAGTGCAAGGGTTCACCTCAAATAGGGACTGGAAGGTTTAAGCAGGGTGACTCTCAGGACACAAGACATGGCTGGAACTGTGACGTCCAAGCCAAAGACTCAGGGAAGCATCTTCCATATATATTTTCATAAATAAAATATGTGCTATCATGTCATATTTATTTACAGAAATATATTTGAGCTAAGTATTTGTAGGAGAAACTAAGGAACCGAAATCAAATAACTTGCCTGAAGGGTAAAGTTAAAAATTTTATTGACTTCCAGGCCAATGTTCTAGCAGACACCATGGAACTCCATTCCGAAATGAACGGGAGCCCACGGAAAGGGGACATTCTCTTCCTTAGAGAGGTCCCAGTCCCTGGAAAACTGGGTGAACGCTGCTGGGGGGTTAGGAATAGTCTCTACAGCTGTGCCTTTAGGTGGAAAGCTGAGACACAGCCCACCCACTGGGGAGCTCTTTTTTAAAAATATTTTTTATTGACTTTTTACAGCGAGGAAGGGAGAGGGATAGAGAGTTTAGAAACATCGATGAGAGAGAAACATCGATCAGCTGCCCCCTGCACGCCCCCCACCGGGGATGTGCCCGCAACCAAGGTACATGCCCTTGACCGGAATCGAACCGGGACCCTTCAGTCCGCAGGCCGACGCTCTACCCACTGAGCCAAACCGGCCAGGGCTGAGGAGCTGTTTTGAGAAAGTTATTTCCACATGAAGACAATAAACAAAAGTGGTCACTGCTTGCCTGGCCTGCCTTTCTCAGTGGTTAGAGCATTGTCGGGGCACCAAAGGGTCCAGGGTTCGATTCCTGGTCAAGGGCATGTACCTGGCGTGCAGGTCGGGGCGCATGCAGGGGGCAACCAAGCAATGTTTGTCCTCCCCCCTTCCCTTCCACTCTCTAAAAAAAGAAAAAGGGAAAAATATCCTCAGGTGAGGATTAACAACAAACAAGAAAGTGGTCCCTGCCCAGGAAACTCCGACTCCGCAGAGGAGGTTCGTCTCTTTTGCATGATTTAGGCAGAAAGCTTTCACACCACTATCTTTTTTAGCACATTCCGTCGTCTATAAACACATTAACTGAAGAACACGAGAGATACCCAAAACCGCCAATATTCAAAGGGAATTTCTGCCAAACCCCGACCGAGCTTCCCGGAGCCGGGCTGCTCTGGGAGTATCCCCTGTCCGACGCCGGCCACCCACACGGCCGCGCACTGGCTTCCCGCGCTCGGGCCACCGCGGGGCTGTTCAGAGGACTCACGCCCGCGGAGACACCAGCTGGCTGTCCGCAGGCGCCGGGGCGGGAGATTAAAGGGTTTTGGTCGCGATGCGACCCGCAGGCCTGGCACACAGACGGGCGCTGCAGTGTAGCCGCCGCCGCCACGGCCCGCGCGCACAGGCTGGAAGGACGGTCTCCTGAGCCGGCCGCCAGCAGAGCGGCGTCTCCAGCCCGTGGGTCATTCCTTCCGCCTTCGGGTACGAGTCCAGCAGGGCTGCCAGGACGACCAAAGCATTGTCCACGCAGACCCACGCGGCTCTCCCACTCCAGAGCGCGCCTCGCCCTGCAGGAACTCAACGGCTCCCAAGCGCCGCAGCGACCACGACGCTGCCTGTGGCTAAGAGCGGACGGGAAGCAGCGGGGGAGGGCAGAGCCCACGGGTGCGCACGGCCCCGGCAGGCCCGGGGCGGCCGGTGCGGGAGGCGGGTCAGAGAGGATGGTCGGTCCGCAAGACGTACCACAGGTACCGAGAGCCTGGCGCCTGCGCTCCTGGGGGTTAAGGACACCGCGGGCAAGAGGAAGGCAGGGACAGCGCTGGCCAGGGCGGGCGCACGGAGGCCTGCACGCTGCACCGCGGGGACCGGGCGGGAGCCCCCACGTTCCCCGCGGGCCGGTCCAGAGCGGGATGTGAGTCAGCGGTCAGTCAGCAGCGTCTCCCGGAGCGGCGGGGGCTCGGAGCGCACGGAGCGCGCCTCCCGCAAGAACGGTTTCTTTTCCCGGTTCCATCTTCCCGTCCCAGAGCCCAGCGCGGTGCCTGGCACCTCGTGGGGGAGCTGGGCTGGTCGGCCGACGGGACCGCCGGCGGAGAACATGACTGGACGGATGAATGGAAGGCTGCGCGGGGAGAGAGGGCGGTAACGGCAGGGGTGGCGCGGCGCCACGCGAGGCACCGGGGAACCGGGGAGCGTCGCCAGGGTCGCGAACGGGGGCTGCCCCGGGCGACCGCGAAGCGCCCCGTCGCGCCGCGGAGGAGCGTCACGCCGGACGAGGAAGCGCGGCGGGGAGGTGGAGGGGGCCGAGGGACGCGCCCTTGGGGAGAGGGAAGGAAGGGAGAGGGATGGGAGAGGAGCCCGGGGGCCGGCGCCGAGGGGAGGGCTGAGGCACCGGCCCCTCCTCGGAGAAGTCGCCTCAGATCCCCGCGCGCGGGGACCGTTTGGACGTGACCGCCTCCCGCCTCGGCGCCCGCTCACCTGGCCGGGCTTCGCCCCGCTAGCGCCGCCACATCCCGCTCCCTACGCCCGCCCCGTTTCCACTCGGCCTCGAGCCCACGCCTCATAGCCGCCCCGGCCGAATCGGCCCGCTCCGCACCTCACACACAGCTCGCCGGCGGCAGCCGCCATCTTCGCGCGCCCGCGCGCGCGTCCGCCCCGCCCCCAAGCGCCGTGCCCACGTGACCGCTCGCCTCCCAACGGGCGCGTGGACGGGGCTTTGCGTCACGTGACGGCGGGGCGGAGCCAAGATGGCGACTCCGAGGGAGGTTAAGATCGCGCGGCTAAGGCACCCGAGGCTGAGATGAAGGCAGCGGAGTGGCAGCTTCTGCGCAGTAGGTGGGAGATGGTGGCGGGGGACCGGGCACCAGCCCCCAGGCGTCAGCGGGCGCCCGACAGTGGAGCTTGCGCCCTCGCGGCTGGAGAACGAAGAGAGAAGGTGCCGGCCGCGTGAAGCTGCTGCTCTCCGCCTGGCAGGGCTTGAGGGGCTCAAAGTCCAAGGCGTCGCTAGTCACCCCGGTGTGTCCGGGTCCCCGGTCTAGAGACATGACCCGACAGCGCGCCCCGCGGGCCCCGGGGCCGGGAGCGCCGCTGAGCGGGTCGGTGCTGGCCGAGGCGGCGGTGGTGTTCGCCGTGGTGCTGAGCATTCACGCGGCGGTGATGGACCGGTACTCGTGGTGCGCCGTGGCCCTCGCCGTGCAGGCCTTCTACGTCCAGTACAAGTGGGACCGGCTGCTCCAGCAGGGGAGCGCCGTCTTCCAGTTCCGAATGTCCGCCAACAGCGGCCTGCTGCCCGCGGCGATGGTCATGCCTTTGCTCGGACTGGTCATGAAGGAACGCTGCCAGGCCGCCGGGAACCCCTACTTCGAGCGCTTTGGCATCGTGGTGGCGGCCACCGGCATGGCCGTGGCCCTCTTCTCGTCGGTGCTGGCCCTGGGCATCACTCGCCCGGTGCCCACCAACACGTGCGTCATCGCGGGCTTGGCCGGCTGCGTCATCACCTATATCATGAAGCACTCGCTGCGGGTGGGCGAGGTCATCGAGGTCCTGGAGGTCCTGTTGATCTTCGTCTACCTCAACATGATCCTGCTGTACCTGCTCCCCCGCTGCTTCACCCCGGGGGAGGCGCTGCTGGTGTTGGGGGGCATCAGCTTCCTGCTCAACCAGCTCATCAAGCGCTCCCTGCCCGTGGTGGAAAGCCAGGGCGACCCGGTGGACTTCCTCCTGCTGGTGGCAGTGACGGGGATGGTCCTCATGGGCATCATCTTCAGCGCCCTCTTTGTCTTCATGGACTCGGGGACCTGGGCCTCCTCCATCTTCTTCCACCTGATGACGTGTGTGCTGGGCCTCGGCGTGGCCCTGCCCTGGCTCTATCGGCTCATCCGGAGGAACCCCCTGTTCTGGCTTTTTGAATTCCTCTTCCAGACGGAAACCCGCCTCTACCTCCTAGCCTACTGGTCTCTGCTGGCCACCTTGGCCTGCCTGGTGGTCGTGTGCCAGAATGCCAAGCGGTCATCTTCCGAATCCAAGAAGCACCAGGCCTCCACCATTACCCGGAAATACTTCCACTTCATTGTGGTAGCCACCTACGTCCCAGGTATCATCTTTGACCGACCACTGCTCCACGTGGCCGCCACTGTGTGTCTGGCAGTCTTCATCTTTCTAGAGTATGTGCGCTATTTCCGCATCCGGCCCCTGGGCCACACTCTGCGCAGCCTCCTCTCCCTCTTCCTGGATGAACGGGACAGCGGACCGCTCATCCTGACACACATCTACCTGCTCCTGGGCATGTCTCTTCCCATTTGGCTGGTCCCCAGGCCCTGCACACAGAAGGGTAGCCTGGGAGGAGCGAGAGCCCTGGTCCCCTATGCCGGCGTCCTGGCTGTGGGTGTGGGTGACACTGTGGCCTCCATCTTTGGCAGCACCATGGGGGAAATCCACTGGCCCGGAACCAAAAAGACTTTCGAGGGGACCATGACATCTATATTTGCCCAGATCATTTCTGTAGCTCTCATCTTAATCTTTGACAGTGAAGTGGACATAAACCACAGTTATGCTTGGATTTTGGGGTCCATCAGCACAGTGTCCCTCCTAGAAGCATACACTACGCAGATAGACAATCTCCTTTTGCCTCTCTATCTCCTGATATTGCTGATGGCCTAGCTGTTGTGCAGCAGCAATGAAGGAAATAGAGACATGAAGAGAACAAATGGTCCCCACAGCGGCCAGCCACTTGGGCATAAAGAAGCAAGGGGTGAGAAGCAGATTTGATTTTTCAGTTGATTCAGATTCAAAATAAAAATTAAAGCTCTCCTGGTTTTAGTGTTGCTGATATTAAAAAGCAAAAAGACAGCCCAGCTGGTGCAGTTCAGTGGTTGAGCGTCGACCTATGAACCAGGAGGTCACAGTTTGATTCCCGGTCAGGGCACATGCCCAGGTTGTGGACTTGATCCCCAGTGTCGGGTGTGCAGGAGGCAGCTGATCAATGATTCTCTATCATCATTGATGTTTCTCTCTCTTTCTCTTGAAATCAAAATATATTTAAAAAAAAAAAAAGACTTAAAGGATGGTGCAACGACTCAACTTGAGTGTGCTATGGGTCCCTGCCTCTCATCTTGCAATCCTCAGAGGGGGCGGGAGTGGACACTGGAGGCCATATTGCATAATGGTTAACACTTCAGGCTCTCTGTCAAACTAAACCGGTCAATCCTTGGCTGTACCACTTCTTTTTTTAAAAAGTATATTATTAATTTCAGAGAGGAAGGAAGAGGGAGAGAGAGAGAAACATCGATGATGAGAGAGAACCATTGATCAGCTGCCTCCAGCACATGCCCTGCTGGGTTTTGAGCTCGCAACCCGGGCATGTGCCTGACCGGGAATCAAACCTGGGACCCTTCAGTCTACAGGCCAACACTCTCTCCACTGAGCCAAACTGGCCAAGGCAGCTGTACCACTTCTTAACTGTGTGACTGGCTCTACCATTCTGTGTGAATGACCCACATCCCAGGTGGTTCAGGGTTCCTGCTCTGGAGAAGGGCTGCGTGCAAATGACAGTCGAGCAGGAAATAATTTGGAAATTGGGGGGCCAGGCGGGAGCCCAATGCAAGAGGAAGGACTCCGCTTGTGCTCAGGCCTTGCCATCCTTTTATTCAGTTTGGGATACACCCATAGCCCTTAGGCAAGTTCCAGTAACAGGCAGACTATCTTATCAGTAAGGATTTACATAACTGGTGGGGAAGTTGCTTCAGCTACTATTGTCTCCACTAAACAGTCAATGCATAGCTCTGCCCTTTGCCAGGGCTCAAGGGACACCAGCTTTTCGGGCTCCTTGTCCACACCTTTCTGCTAGTGAAGACAATAGGCGGCTTCCCACAATTCTGGGCCTCAGTTCTCTGCAAGATGGGAATAAGCCTGCACCTCAGAGTGTTGTGAGGATCTGATGAGGTGAGGTGTGTATGGTGTCCAGCCCGGGGCCCACACATCACAAGCAATCAGTAGGGAAAGTGTCATCCTTGCGCAAGGCCAGTCCTCTCAGCAAGCCAGTGGTTGTACTTCTGTTGGTTATACTTGGAGACCAGAGTGACCTTGGCTTTATTTGGAGAAGAACCCAAGAGGAAAATAGCCAAATGCATGTGGTTCCTCCCATGTGGGCTAGGAAGAGCTTATGAGGAAGGGCTGGGGGCAGAGGAGCAACTTCTCCCCACTTTCACCCCGCCTGGCAGGAGGGGCCTGCCGGAAGAGGAGAGACGTAAGGCCAGAAGCCAGGAGGGGAGCTCGTGGGATTTCTGCCCCGTCCTTTCCCTCAGAAAAGTACTGAGACCTTCCTCTGGGGCTCGAAGGATTGCAAACCCTCCCTTCTCTCAGACTCCCTCTGCTGGCCCAGGAGGTGGCCAAATGTCCGGGAAAAGCGGCCGCTTGGCCTCGCCTCCTTGTGGTCTTGGGAAAGGGCCCTGTCCTTTGTGCCTTGGCGTGTCCATGCGTACAGTGGGGGCTGGAAACAGGGTCACAAACTCCGACAGCCGCTGAGACCAGGCAGGTAATGCAGTGACGGAGAACGGGAAGTGGGATGCAGAGAGCACACGCGCCTCTAAGGCTCAGCCAGTTGTCAGCATGCTAGACCACTGGCCCAGTGCTGTTGACCTGTTCTTTCAAGGAAGCTTAGCAATCTTACTGTTTTGTGAAATGGCTCAATTTTAAGAAAATTTTTTAAAAATGCCAAGGTGCCCTACCTGGTTTGGCTCAGTGGATAGAGCAGCCTGGGGACTGGAGGGTCCCGGGTTCGATTCCAGTCAAGGGCACATGCCCGGGTTTCAGGCTCTATCCCCAGTAGGGGGTGTGCAGGAGGCAGCCGATCAATGAGTCCCTCTCATCATTGATGTTTCTCTCTCTACCCCTCTCCCTTCCTCTCTGAAATAAATAAAAAATGTTTTTTAATAATAAAAATAAATAAAAATGCCAAGGCCCAGACAAAACACAACTGTGGTCTGCCATCAGCTAGTAGCCCCTGATTTGCAATCTCCAGGCCAGACCCCAGCTAAACAGGATCTGGATTTGGTAGTTGTTCCTGCAAAAGGTCTGGGTGCCTGCCAGCCAATCCCAAGCAGGAGGGACCCATGAAGGCCCTCCGTCAGGGCCAGAGAGAGGAAGGGCCTGGCCTGAGGTTAGGAAGGTATTTGGTCACAGAGCCAGGACCAGAATCTGGGACTAGATTCCCAGCCCTGGTAATCTCCCCCACCCCCACCCCCCACCCCCTTGCAGGTGAGGAGCACAGGCTGTGGGTCAGGCTGAGCTCCTGAACAACTGCACAGCTGTGTGCCCTGTGAACGTGGATGGTAAGAGCACCTGCCCCAAAGGTCCATCGGGGTGAGGACTCAGTGAGACGCAGCAGGTGAGCTCTTGGCACAGCGAGTGAGTGCCCACTCAATGTGAGTTGTTAGGGAATCACAGACCTCACCAGGCAGGGCTGGGATGCCTGGGATGGTTTACAGCAGGGCCCTCATTTTGACAACATGTCCGCTGGGGAAAGAAGGGTCGAGAAGCTGCATTGGGAAGTCATTTTTATTCAATGCCTTGCGCTGTAATA